CCTAAACTGTCAGTTAGAACAAGGGGGGAAATAAGGAATGTAACCCAGTGCCTGGTTTATTTCTACGCTCTTAGAGGAAGGTGTGAAGAAGCCGCTGACCATCGCTGCGTGAACTGGACACGGGCCGATGTTATCTCCCCTTTTCCCACGAGGAATTTAACACCTGGGGATTGGCCATTCCATACTGGACAGGCGGACTATGGGGTGGGGTCTAAGTTGGGGATAGCTTAATCCAAGGCTTTTCAACCAGTGGTACGGGTACCACCTGTGCTACATTGGCACCTGGCAGGTGGTATGCAACCATCCTAGAAAAGTGGTAGTGGGGGAGGGGAATGAGCTGAACCGGTGGCAGCACCGCACAAGCCTGAGTAAGAGATGGCTGGAGCTGCAGGGCTGTCAGGGCTCAGCGGAAGCGCCAGGATTAGCACTTCTTCAGGACTGTCAGGGCTCAGCGGAAGCGCCAGGATCAGCGCTTCTTCGGGACTGTCAGGGCTCAGTGGAAGTGCCAGGATCAGCGCCAGGCTCCAGCTGGAGCTTGGCACTTATCCTGGCCCTTCTGCTGAGCCCAGAAGAAGCGCCGGTCACCTGGAATGTTGCAGCATCTCCAGGGTCTTGTGATTTACATTTAGATGCTTGGCAACAGTGTCCCAGGGTCATGTGAATTGACCAAAACTGCTGCAACCACCCAGCAGACGGGGGAATAAAAACCAAACACCCCCCCACCCCGCCTCCACTAATCCTCAACAGAAATGTTCACAACAATGAAAACCTCGAACAGGAGGAAGTGCGCCGTCTGGTGGGCAGGCAGGTGTCTTGCTCAGCTGTGGCTTGGGGAGCATTTTTTTCAGTGCCATTGTAATTTCGAACAGTCACTAAGCGAACTGTTGTAAGTCGAGGACTACCTGTACTTCATCACTTTTTTCCTTTTTTTTTTGGTCATCAAGTTTTGACATCTTGCTAGGCGACTGGTGGTACTCGGATATTGCCATATCCTAAAAGTGGTACAATGGGTGAAAAGGTTGAAAAGCCCTGAAATAGACTACACAAACATAATGAAGTTGAATCTATCACTCTGCGTGGGAAATCTCAGATCCTGTCTATTATGCCTGCTATCAACTACTCTTAATAAAAGTTCCTTTTGGAAGAGTTCTGCTTTCTTAAGATGTGGGGTTGAAGTGGGTCCTTACAGAATGTCTTAAAGATATTATTAAATATTTGTCAATCATCTTCTTCCTAACCAGATTATTTCATCTGAGTTTTTCAGAGGATTCTCTTCATTAAAATAATTCTTATAAAAAGGACAAAACTGTTGTTTGGAAGTATTCAAATAAGTTATGACAAAATTTAAATTTCATAAACACATGTAGCATATTCCAGATGCAATAAACAAATTTCCATCTTATTTCAACTACGCCTGAAATAATGGACAGATCTATTGCATTTAAAGTAGCCTAGATGAGGCAGTTGTATTTATATTAACTTTATATCTTGGCAATTTTCATTTGCCTAATGACATCATTTTACAAATAATATAGTGACAAAAATGTTTTTTTGCTTTATAATGATCATGACTGCATAATTTGATTAGCTTTGGGGAGTAGCTGATAGCTGCTTCCATTCTCTTGTAATATGACGTCACTGTATTTAGGTATTCGTTTTTGCTTGCAAAAGAAATGTAATAGTAAAGAACCTCTTGAAAATTGAAATATTCCAATTTTGGTTTTCTGCAGTGTACTTATAAGTAAGCAGTTCTTTTGGTGAGGCATATGTATACACAGTTTTAGATGTTCAAACTCTCTACTGGGAATTTAACTCACTGGCCATTGCCTTTTGGATATACAGGGCATTATCTTTGTAGCTACTATACCTGATCAGTCCCAAGGAAAGATTAAATTGGCCAGGTATTGCCTCCTAGTTGGTCAATCTAAGTTGCTTATTGCCATACACTAAGTTGTTTACACCAGGGCTTTTCAACCTTTTCACCCATTGTACCAGTTTTAGGATATGGCAATATCTGAGTACCACCAGTCGCCTAGCAAGGCGTCAAAACTTGATGACCAAAAAAAAAGGAAAAAAGTGATGAAGTACAGGTAGTCCTCGACTTACAACAGTTTGCTTAGTGACTGTTCGAAGTTACAATGGCACTGAAAAAAGTGCCCCCCAAGCCACAGCTGAGCAAGACACCTGTCTGCCCACCCGGCGGCGCACTTCCTCCTGTTCGAGGTTTTCATTGTTGTGAGCATTTCTGGTGAGGATTGGCAGTGCAGGCGGGGTGGGGGGGTGTTTGGTTTTTATTCCCCCCATCTGCTGGGTGGTTGCAGCAGTTTTGGTCAATTCACATGACCCTGGGACACTGTGACTGTCATAAATATGAATCAGTTGCCAAGCATCTGAATGTAAATCACAAGACCCTGGAGATGCTGCAACATTCCAGGTGATCAGCGCTTCTTCTGGGCTCAGCAGAAGGGCCAGGATAAGCGCCGAGCTCCAGCTGGAGCCTGGCGCTGATCCTGGCGCTTCCACTGAGCCCTGACAGTCCCGAAGAAGCACTGATCCTGGCGCTTCCGCTGAGCCCTGACAGTCCCGAAGAAGTGCTAATCCTGGCGCTTCCGCTGAGCCCTGCAGCTCCAGCCATCTCTTACTCAGGCTTGTGCGGTGTTGCCACCGGTTCAGCTCATTCCCCTCCCCCACTACCACTTTTCTAGGATGGTCGCGTACCACCTGCCAGGTGCCAATGTAGCACAGGTGGTACCCGTACCACTGGTTGAAAAGCCTTGGTTTACACTGTGTAAAAATAGAGAAGTGCCATCGCCCAAGGAAGGAAGAAGTCACGTAAAACCTCCTAAATAGAAGCATGACATACCGGTAATATATCTATATTTTTCTTGAACACTTAAAAAATGAATGTGCTTTTCTTTATACCAAGGCTTTTCAACCAGTGGTACGGTACCACCTGTGGGTACCACCCAGCAGACGGGGGGGAATAAAAACCAAACACCCCCCCGCCTCCACTGCTAATCCTCACCAGAAATGCTCACAACAATGAAAACCTCGGACAGGAGGAAGTGCGCCGCTGGGTGGGCAGGCAGGTGTCTTGCTCAGCTGTAGCTTGGGGGGCACTTTTTTCAGTGCCATTGTAACTTCAAACAGTCACTAAGCGAACTGTTGTAAGTCGAGGACTACCTGTACTTCATCACTTTTTTCCCTTTTTTTTGGTCATCAAGTTTTTGACACCTTGCTAGACGACTGTGGTACTCGGATATTGCCATATCCTAAAAGTGGTACAATGGGTGAAAAGGTTGAAAAGCCCTGCTTCATGCATTGTATTTGTTGCACTAAATCCTAAAATTTCATGAGGTAAATAATGATTACACAACTTGGATTGGATGATATAGTGAAACAATATTTTTCCCCTACAATCTCCCTTGCCTTATATTGCGGAATATTTCCCTATGTAAGCTGTTTGTCTAAATAAAAATTTTCTCTATATGATGAAGTTTGTAGCTCCACCTTTGCAAGTTGCTTTGACTCATTTTTTGCCCATTTCCACTCTTCCATAATGGTAAAAGAAGTCATGTTCCATAATTTTTCTTCTGCATCTACTTTTAGGATCCAGACTATTGTCTTTAAATATGTTTATTAATTTTTTTACATATTCCATACAAATTTTTAACAATTTGAGTTCCCAGAAACCATACATGGATGATAAATATCATGCTATTAAAGTATTAAATTTGTACAAAAATACTTTAGTTTAATACTCATTGTTACAAATAAAAATACATATTAAGTGATTCATAGTATGGATTTCAATTTTTTTTAAATTACTTTTTTCTTCTGGCAGTGCTGGAATGTGAGAAAATGTCATGGGAGTGCATAGGGCATAGAAACTTGCTCTCTAATAAGTGAAGAAAAAAGTATTATGGGTATTTTGATAATTCAAAGAGGCCCCCAAAATTGTGTTAAGATGTAAAGGCTCAGTGTTATCACAGAAAAATCCGGTGTCTTTCCAGTCACTAAGTAACATTAATTATCAAGACAATACAGTGAACAAACCAAAGCAGCTGCTGGTGGGTCTCAAAAGCAACTAGCAGTATTTTATTGCTTTGAATGAGAAATGGCAGAATTTGGGAATATCTGGATAAAACATATTTACATTTTAAAATTAAGTCTTCAAATGGCAGAGTCAATGAGAGCTCCAACAAAGTATTTAAATAGATACTTTAAATCAATACACATTTCATTTATTTTAATTTTTTTTAAAAAATCCTGTGTTGCTGTACAAGTTCATTTATATATGTGTTCCCTAAACACAGCAGTTCATATATTTTTGCATCAGTATTATTTTGCTACTGGAATTCAGTTAAGAAAAAAATGTACTTTAACATTTTTCTTATTAAACCTTGTTTTCATAAGCCTTATTGTTTTAAAACAAAAAATCATTATGTGTTTCAAATACCTAAAAGTACGAAATACATACAGGCTGCATGACATATCCTATTCAGTATATCATTGCATAGGGAATAATGTAATTTCTAATAAATCATATTATAACAGTATCTAAAGTTTTACCCTCCAGGTTCCTGTGTGCACTTTACTGAAATGATTGCAGAACAAGTAACAGTTTTTGGTTCCCCCCCCTTTTTTTTGTTTAGCAGAGGTAACAGATGTACACTTTGTTAAACAATAACTATGATACAATAATCTTTTGGGCATAGAGATAATATTTTGATATTCCTTTCTTCAATTAGCTCATCTTTTAATATAAATTTTGATTAAAAAAAACTCATGTTCCAAGTTGGGGATACTCTTTTCAGAGACCTGATGCGGGTTGAAAAGAGCTCAGTTTCATTTACAATGTTTCTTTTGATTAATTAACGTGAAAAAAGTTACTTTTGTCATTAATTTCTCTTGCATGTCGAATTCAAGTTGAAATGGCACTATTTGTGGTTATAAAAAAAGTGAGAAGAAAACTCGATTGGGAAGAAAGCAGCAAAGAATGAGCCTTGAGAAATAATCAGAACCTTCCCTGTGTGCTTCTCAACATTGAATAGTATCTGTGTTTCCAGTGTATCAGACATATTAAAAAAAATAGCACCATTTAAATCTCTTGGACTGATACAGTTTTTGGTTATAAAGTGTTCATAGGTTCCCATTTCATCTCTGAACCTGTGTTATGTCCACTTTGTTGAAGGAAGGCATTGTTTGGGTGGCTCCATTGTCCTATTGGGAAAGTCTGGTGTTCTGAGCTCTTCTTTTGGGAAGGTAATGGGTTGCGACTAATAACAAGTTCTAATTTATTACCAGACTCTGCTATTAGGGGTACAACTAGGCAGCAGTCAAAATCTCTTGTCCGAACATGATTTACCTGAAAAGGAAAAAAATTAAGAATGTTTTCAACAAAAAAAGACAAGTCAAGCAAACCAATAAAAGATGGTATTATGTTTTTCTTAGGTGAAGGATAATATAAGACAGTTTAGGTCCAGGCAAATAAAAAGCTTGAAATAAAGAAGAAAATATTTGCAAGATAATGAATTAAACTGAGTGTAATTTTGTAAGCTAATAAGTTTAATTTGATTTTCCCCCATTCTATCTAATTTAATTCAGAAGTCTCACAGTGTTTAGCAATATTGTGTAAAGAGAAGGAATACACAGTTGCAGCTGTATTTACCTAAATAAATAATAAATAATAAATAATTCTTATTTAGAATTTAGAATTATTTAGGACTATTTCCCAAAAGAAGAGTAAACAACAACAAATAGTAAAAATCCTATGAAATGACCATCTTTCCTACCTTATTCATTCATTAATTCATTCATTCACTCACTCACTCACTCACTCACTCACTCATTCATTCACTCACTCATTTCCAGCATTCATATACTTCCACTGCATAAGGGCTCCTGATGTTTTAGAAAAACTGGCAGATATAGTTGAATTATTTAAGTTGAATTGCCTAAAATAAGAAACTTCATTTGGAGAGTTCTCTCTATCAGCATTTATCAGCTATTCTCTTTCACACACAGTTTTCTCACATAAAACTACACATACATTGTAGCAATCTCCTTTTTCCTTTAGCAGAAGGCAGAAAAATAAAGGAAAAACAGGACAGAGACAGGATGCAGGGTAAGGATAGCTGTATTGGGAAGGGTCTATAAGAGAAAGGGGAAACAGAACAAAGTGCAGATGAGGTAAGAGAAACTGAAAATTAGTAAGGAAAGAAAAGAGAAGTGAGCCCTATGCAGGTATTCCAAGTGGGATTAAAATTCATTAGAAAATAGTTCCAGCTAAACTATAGCTAATCTTCAGATTAATCTGCAAAGGAATCCCACTTTTAAGTAGCTATATTTACAGTCCCATATATATCTCCTTCTCACTTCTTCCTTCACTTCCTTCTTTTCATTGAATAATACCACTCAACTCGTAGGTTAATTACTTTATCTATTTTTATATTGGACAAAAAAGGTCCTTTCTATCAGATATTTAATGACACTGGTATCTATCCTATTCATGGATAGAATGGAATTTTCCAAAGTACATTCTCCCTTATTTGGGTTACAAAATAAGTGAATGAGAAAGCAGAATTCCATTTGCACAATTTCATATAGAATATCCTCAAATGTCTGAATGTTGAGCTTAACTGTTTAAATATTTGCTTAACATAAACCCTTTTATACTTACTAAATGACTTCTCTTATTAACTGAGTTCAAAATTATATAATGTTTCATACTACCTGTAGTAGTCTGTCATATGGCTTCAAACCACCTACATCTCCAGGTCCATCTGGCCGAATATTTTTAACATATACACCTTTTTCCAATAAGCCATCAGAGACACTGAATCCAAAGTCCTCCATATTAGAATCCTTGTATAAAGTTATCTGTCAAGGGATAAGGAAATTCCTCATGACTTTGTTAAAAATTCAGAAATATTTTTCTGCCTAATCTTCCCACATTTTCTCATAGGCTAAGGATGAGCAATAGTTTTTTTCTGGCATTTTCCACTCATTTCCTTTCCTTGCCCCTTTTCATTATATTAATGAAAAAATAATATTAATGAAAAATCTTTTTTTGCATCAAGATCTAGAATACTTAGGGAAGATCATATCAAGATTATAAGTTACTAGACTTTAATTTAGTAAGTTTTCGAAGAGAACAAGTCTTTGCAAATTAATCTTATATCATTTTTAAAATCAGATAACTTCCTTGGTAGATTGGGGGAGTACCATAAGCATAATATGCTACAAAACAGCTGACATACTACAAGTATGAGCACAGTGTCATGGCAAATGCATGGCTGACTCAAAATACAAATTCAGCATATTTCTCATGTAACTGGAGTAGAGAATTGAATGAGTAGGACAAGATTTATCCTGAATTCTATTCTCCAACATTTTTATTCATTTTGCAAATGGTAAGAAATAGGAGATCATTAATACTCTGGAATAAGATTCAAAATCATATTAATATATTATAGAGATGAGCTGAAAATATCAATAAATCTAATACAGAAATGTAAAATTCTACATAGATATATGATTGACAGATATTGGCAACACTACTTGTGAAATGTCTTGGAATAGTAGTTTATTGCACACTCTTTATTACAAAGAATCATGAGGCTATAAAAGGAAAACACATCAACAGAAGTATAATTTTTAAATCATTAGAAGTATTCCATTATATTCTATTTAGCTGGACTTCACCTAGAGCAGGGGTCAGCAATGTTAAACACTCAAAGAACCACTTGGACCCATTTCTCACAGAAAAGAAAACATTGGGAGCCACAAAATCCTTTTGACATCTAAAATGAAGATAACACTGCATATATCCTTTTTTACCTTTATGCAATGTATAAAAAACTATAGTGTGTTGCATTTATGAAATCAATGAACTGCTACAAAGAAAACAAATTTTTATGCCGGAGAAAGAGAGGAAAAAAACCACCTTTCTCCTTCATCCCAACAGGTGAAAACAATTTTAGTAGCTTATCTCCCATCTTTAAATACAGCATAATTATCCCCATACCTCATCTCTTAATTAAAAAAATCAAAATATTTCATTAAACGTTCTTTACTAAAAGTCCAGTAAGGACAACATATATTCATATTTTTTTCTCTCTATATCCCTCTCTCTCTCTTTCCTCTCCCTCCCTCTCTCCTTCTTCTCCCTCTTTCCTGTCACCCCCTCTCTTTCCTCTCCTTTCTCTCCCTCTCTCTCTTTCTTCTCCCTCTCTCTCTTTCCTCTCCCTCCCCCTCTCTTTCTCTCTCTCCTTCCTCTCTTTTTCTCTCTCTCCCTCGCTCTCTCTTTCTCTCTCCCCCTCCCTCTCTCTCTCTTTCCTCTCCCTCCCTCTCTCTTTCCTCTCTCACTCTCTTTCCTCTCCCTTTCCCTCTCTTTCCCTCTCTCTTTCTCTCCCCCCTCTCTCTCTTTCCTCTCTCTCCCTCTTTCCTCTCTCCTCTCCCTCTCTTTCTCTCTCCCTCTCTCTCTTTCCTCTCCCTCCCTCTCTTACCTCTCCCTCCCTCTCTCTTTCCTCTCTCTCTCTCTCTCTCTCTCTCTCTCTCTCTCTCTCTCTCTCACACACACACACACACACACACACACCCACACACCCACACACACATACTTTTGCTTTGCAATACTTCATAATGCAGAGCTTAGCCAGAAGGTGAAATCGAAAAGTCGCTACCTTGTGTAACTCCACAGGAGTTGGGGACATGATTTCTTTCATCTCTTGCTTCATTTTCCTAAGGGCTATGGATTTCCTCCCCACATCTGAAGGCAATGTGTTGCTTCGAGTGGTCTGGCTATAATGTGGCCTCGAAGTACTTCTTTCCTGAAAGCTGGCTTGTCTTCCTAGATGGCTGCGAACTTGAGAGTTATCATGATTCAGGCTCACTGTACTCCCTGACATAATTGTAGCCTGCAGCATTAATAAACAGGTTGTAAAAATATAATACATAACATAATAAAGAAGATATATTCCTAATGAAAAGTAGCATATTTTTCTGCTGTTATTGTCAAAATATGGTTGCTCAGGGCAAGCAAATGGCTTGGAGAATAGATGAACAATCTGATTGGGGAATTGGGGAAGATCCCTGACATTCCCCAGTGGATCAGTATAAAAGTATATGAAGTTTTATTAGAAGTATTTAGTGGAACTTTTCCACATAAAGCCCTGCCTTTAATTCATAACAGGACGACACCTAAACACAAACACACACACAGAGAGAGATAGAGAGACACACAGGTAGACACACATCATGGTGTTCTCCCCTTTTGGAGTAACCAAAATTACGCACAGTAGCAGAAGCAGAGTAAGGCAAAGAAAATAAATCATGATTTAAGAAAAGTAAAAGGAAATACAGCTGAATCTAATTTACACCAACACACATATACTATTTCATATAGTCTTTTTACTTTTTTTAAAATCTTCCTCTTTTAAGGATCTTACTAACTCTATCTAATCACAATTTTCTCAATCTTTCCTTTTTTCTTGATCCATACACACTTCCTTCATATATATATTCATATATATCTACTTGGCAATTTGATCCTCTCAGTCTCTCTAACCAGCCACTTGCTTGTTCTACACAGTTCATTATTTTTTGTAATCAGGTCACATTTGTTGAGCATCCATTCATTTGTTTTACCATACATCAGGGGTGTCAAACTCGCAACCTCACGTGACGTGTCGTGACATATCAGGACTTTTTTGCCAGTGCCGGCAATGGAGTGGGTGCAGTTTCGCTATGATGCATCTGGCCCATGGGCTGGTAGTTTGACACCCCTGCCATACATGCTTCTTAAGTACTACAGCAGAGAACTTCCTATGTCCCATCAAGTTGATGGCATTAATGAATGCCAATGCTCACTTTGCCCAATTGTATAGGCTTGGCAACAGCTACAAAAGATGGTGTTACATAATTAGGTCTTATGTCATGAAGGCTTCATAGACCAGAGGTCTTCAAACTTGGCCCTTTTATGATTTGTGGACGTCAACTCCCAGAATTCTTCAGCCAGGCATACTGGCTGAAGAATTCTGGGAGTTGAAGTCCACAAGTCATCAAAGGGCCAAGTTTGAAGACCCCTGTCATAGACAATAACTAATTCTTTGAATTGCACCAGAAAGAATCCTGGTAACTAGAGTAACTCAAGGAGAAAAAAACATTACATGGGCCTAATAAGGCTTACAGATAATTGCTGTTGCATTCTGGACCAGCTGCAGCTCCTAAGTAGGTTTCAAGGGCAGCATTATGTAGAACACTTTGTGGTAGGCCATGCACAAGACAATCAAACCACAAGTGACTTTCTGAAGGACCTCCTGTTCCATGTAACAGAGGAAGTGGTTCTGAAGATAGATTTATATAAAGGCCTTTTTTGTCTCACTGCCACCTGCTCCTTGAACAGTAACTGTGAGTCCAAGAAGATCCCAAAATTGTGTACCAGTTCTTTGGGTGATGGTGGTGGTGGTGGTTTGTCATTCCAAACAAGATTAAATATGAAATATCTCCAATTTGGGATGTGTGTGTGTGTCCAAAACCTCACAACTTTGGCAGGGTTTAGCCTGTTCCTACTCCATAGCCTTCAGACCACCATACAAGACATTGGCAGAATCACCATTCACACTGCATTTAAATTACTTTTATGTTTCACCTGATATACCAACTCTCATTTCAACATAGCAAAGTGGACAGAAACACACTCCAACTTTTTTTCCTTTGGCAAACCTTTGGTTATCGCAATACATAACATATTATTCATTAGCTTTCCAACAGCATTTGTAAACCTATGTTTCTATATAATTCCCAAGGTAAACCTTCTAGCAAAGTACATGTTTATCTATTTACCCTATTTACATCTAATTTGCAATCATTCACCCCATTTCTCCAACAAACACAACTATTTTGCTTTTCAATATTTTAATTTTCAGAGCTATGAACCCAAATCATTTGGGTTTTCCGTCTACAACACAGCATTGGTTACATACAAAGGTTTTGTACAACCAACACTCATCCTATATTTAAAAGTCACAAACATGACTTTTAAATATATTCATTAATTCATTAACAACCAAGAAGACATTGCAGACCTTGGACTTACTCCCTGCTCAGTGCTAAATCACTCACTAAAATTCTCACATGTGCTACAATTCCATTATATACTGTCTTATTGTATTTAGCAACCAATGTTCTCATTGCATATATGAAGATATATTTTTATTTCCAGTATTTCCTCTGTTTGTATTAAAGCAATAAATTTAGGGTTTAAATTATTTTCTTTTAAAAATGTTCTAGTTTCTGACATATTCTTTAAGCATTTTTCCTTACTACCAAAATAATAATTTTAAAAAACATTAGATCTACTTTGACAAGAATGAAAGTTAAGGTTAGACTAATAGAAAACAATTAATTTGCAAAAGATAATACATATACCCAATTAATTTAACTTTCTAAAAGGCTTTTTAAATGAAACGATTCTCAAACTATTGATATATTCATTCTATTTCCATATCCATTTGCTGTGCTCTTAGGAAAAAATCCATAAGCGAAGCTTGAGCTACATGCCTTGGGCCGAACTAAACCAAATTGATAAGTCATTTCTCCCAAGTATTCAGAATGTCAATTAAATATATAACATATCCACATTAAATAACAGGCATGCAATATGGAAGCTATGGCTCTGAGGCTATGCAGTCAACTTGAGTAGCATGATTTTTATCTTGTTAATGCCATTCACATTCATTGTGATCACTCTGTGATTTCCGTATGACATAAAGATGAAAACAGAAATCTTACAATTTTGCAACACTGGGAATTTAAAAGAACATAAAAGAAAATTCTTGCAGACTCACCCTTCTGAAGAAATAAACTAAGAATATTAATTTTTGTTGTAATTAAAAAATTAAGGTAGTCCTCAGCTTACAACAGTTCCTTTAGTGACCATTCAAAGTTACAAAGAGACTGAAAAAATTGACTTATGACCGTTTTTCACATTTACAACTGTTGCAGTATCCCCGTGGTAAAATGATCAAAATTCAGACACTTGGCAAATGATTCATATTTATGATGGTTACAGCATCCCAGGGTCATGTGATCACCTTTTGCGACCTTCTGATAAGCAAAGTCAATTGGGAAGCCAGATTCACTTAACACCTGTATTACTAACTTAACAACTGCAGTGATTCATTTAACAACTGTGGCAAGAAAGTAGTAAAATGGGGCAAAGCTCATTTAACAAATGTCTTGCTTAGCAACAGAAATTTTGGGCTCAGTTGTGGTTGTAAGTTGAGCACTACCTATATGGCCACGTTTTTTTAAAAGTATCTGGTTACTCTGTTTTTGAAGTAAAATAACTGAGTGCAAAGTTAATATGGCAGATTGCAACAGCAAAACCCCCCACTAAATATATAAATCTTTTGTAGCTATATTAGTTCATGTGGTGAATCTAATTGTAAAAATGTGTGGAAATTTTGTTTTCATTTATGTTCCCTATAATTCAAATTCAGTTCTGTTGCGAGAGATACATGCCAGGAAAACTTTTATAAAAGCTGCTAGAAAAGAATGGGATGTGTGCTGTTAAGGCAAAGTAAGCCTGCAAACAAATGCAGCCAGAAGTAGCACAGGAGAAGCTTTTGCTCACACAAATTTCAGCAGCAGATCCATGGAAAGTAATTGCTTGATTGAGGATTAGCAAAGGGAGCTATGCAAGCAAAAATATAAACACTAAAGGGTAAGTACCAAGAGAGCCATGTTTCTCAAATACAGACGCCTGTCAACCTTGTCCTGTGGAGAGGGGTTAAAGCTTTAAAATGATTTTGTGAGATTAATGCAAACTTAGAAAAAAGGAGGGAAAAACCCAACAAAAATGAGTGTTAATTGAAAAAAAGAAATTAGTCTGTTATGAAGGAGTAGATTGCTTCTACCTCTAATTCCCTCAGAATTCCTGACTGTCCACAAGTCTCCAAATCCTCCAGTGCTTGGGACCAGAAGTTTTCCTCCTGGTCAGGCTCAGGGACACCTGTAAAACTGGAGTCAGAGAAAGGTTTGCTAAAGTTATAGAGAACATCACAACGAACTTCACAGGAAATGCTTGCAATACATAGTAACAACAAGGATTTTTTTGTGGTGTGTGTGGGAGCTAGATAACAAGGCAGAGGAGATACAGCTGATGAACTGGGCTGTGGAGTATATGAATTTATAACAGGTCTGTGCTGACTTGACTCAAACTGCTGTTGATTTTTAAAAATCATTGTACTGAAAGTCTCTCCCTCTCTATTTCTCTCTCTCTTTCTGTCTCTAATTATACAAATGTGAAATATAAAATGAGTAACAATATCTTATAAGACAAATAGATAATTATCAGCTCTCCAAAAACAACAAGCCTCTAGTCTGCTTTTCTTTGGGAAGTCACTTTCACTGCTTTTTATTCTTAGCATTTTGTCATTCTACCTGCTATAAATTGTGGAATTAGAAGCATGCAGAAAATTTTGAAGATGCAAAGGAAAGATGGAAAGCCATTTGAGCAATTATCAATGCTTTGCTGAGTCAGGAATGCTACATCTCCTACTCAACCATCTGTCATTCAATCTGTTAAGTTTTGGATAACTTTATCTTTAAACCTTCCTTTCGAGGAAGAATTGTGGAGAAAGTGGTGGTCCTGCAAGTTCAGAAAGCACTACAGAAAGTAGAATGTTTGAACTCTTGGCAGTCAGGTTTCAGGCCAGGTTACAGAATGGAGACAGCATTTTATGCACTTCTGGATGACCATTGGAAAGACTAAGATCATCAAGTATAACTTTCTTGGTCCTTCTTGACTTCTCATAGCATTTAATACCACAGAACTTGGTATTCTTCTGGACCATCTCCAAGGGATTGGAGTGGGAGGCATTGTTTTGTATTGATTGCTCTCCTTCCTGAAGTAGAAATTGGTGGTAGTGGGAGAAGAGGGATCTGTCACGAGACTTCTACTTTGTGGAGTGCCTCATAGTTCTCTCTGTCCATTCTTTTTTAACAGCTACAGGAAATTCTGGGAGAGATCATCCTCCAGATATGAGGCTTGGTGTTATCAATATATGGATTATAACCTGCTTTATATCTTAATCCTGGGCAGAGATGCTATGCTGGAAGTGCTGATTCAAAGCCTGGAAGTTATCAGGTTTTGGATGGAGAAGAACAGACTCCAATGAAATCCCTCCAAATCTGTGTTGCTTTGGGTTCATGGATCTAACAATTTCAGGGAAATTCTATTGTTGATTCTGAGTATGGATGTCTGCATTTGGGCTTTCTCCTAGCACCCCAGCTAGAATGCCTTTTGCATATCTATATCTTGTGTGCCAATTATGATCATTCTGGACTAGAAACTCTGTGCAGAGTCACTCATGTCCTATATACTTCCTGTTGGTATTATTATAAGGAAGTGCCCTTAAAGAGCATTTGAAAACTGCATTTAGTACAGAAAGTAGCAATCTGGGCTGTGATGGGTGAATTTGAGAACTTGTCAGTCCGCTTCCACATGTGATTTACAGGGCTGGTTGTCACCCGTAAAGCCCTACACTGCCCCAGACTAAGGTTTAGAGTTCAATTAACATCTGAAGTGGACATTTTCACTAGCTGCTCCTATTCTTTGGAACTCCTCTGGATAGAGTCCTAATCAGCATTGTCTCTTAGGCTTCAGGAAAATATTGAAGACTCGCCTGTTTTGCCTGGCACAGGAAGAGGGTGTATTATAACTGAAGGTGGGGTCTGCAGTCCAGTGATACTTATATTATCTACTTTAAAATCTTTTTTATTTTTTCACTTTTTATATGCATTTGAGATTGGGGATTATTGTTTTATTTTATGTTGACACTATTAGCTGTTCTGGGTCTCTTTAGGAATCAGCAGCATAAAAGCAAAGTAGAATAAATAAATAAATAAATAGATAGATAGATAGATAGATAGATAGATAGATAGATAGATAGATAGATAGATAGATAGATAGATAGATAGATAGATAGATAGATAGATAGATATGCTCAAATTTGGACTCCATTAGGCAGGCTATATAAAGATATCTAGGGAAGTGACCATCATCTTGCAAAATTATTTGGGATTTATTTCATTTCAATTTGCAGTTTTTCAGAAAGTAGATAGGGTTCCTTGTAGTATGATTCCCTTCACCTGTAGGCTAGTTCCATGCTCCATCTGTCCTCCAGGTGGCTGAGGATGTGACTATAATTAGATTTGAGATGCTAACCTAGTGATTTGCATAGATACGGGATGGTATCTTCTGTCTCAGGGGCATTGGTTTCTTACCTTCTGAAGAAGACATCACTTGCTCCAATAATGTTGGACTATTCCAACCTACTCTCCACTCCTCCTTTTTAAGGTAGATTGTAAAGAAAGTGATTGGACTGCAATTGCAGAAAATTTTAGATGAAGAGGATGATTTTGATCCCTTCTGCTCAGATGCCAAATCTGGGTATGGTATGGAAATTGCAATGTGAGCCTTTTGGACTTGTTTTTAATTATACTATTTGACCTTATTTAGATTTTTGTTTTTATGAATGTATGTAAGTAAGATGGTTAGCATCTAGTGGGTTAGACTGATGTACCCATGAAATAATAAATAACTATTTGGTAATGGCATTGGAATAAATGCCAGAATTAGTAATCCAGGTTTACTTCTATTTGTCAAGAGTTTAGGTCTGATTCAAAAGAGTTTTGTCATCACCAGCAGAAATGATATACGAATCCCAAAATTACAAGAAATACAGTTCAGTTCTTTATAGTTTGTTAATCTATTATTAATATCAACATTTCCTATATTTAACTATACTGATTAGACTATAATGCGGAAATTAGCAATAGTGATGTCTATGTAAAAGTTAAAGCAACATAGGGAGTGGGGAAAGGGCAGAAGGGTCAATAGAATTTTGAATATATACCAAGAAAGATGACCATTAGAACACAGATTTTTTTTACGTAGACCTAAACTATTTAATAATAATAACAATAATAGAAGGGACCTTGGATGTCATCTAGTCCAACCCTCTGCTCAGGCAGGAAACCCTATACCATTTCAGACAAATGGTTGCCCAGTCTCTTCTTAAAAACTTCCAGTGTTGGAACATTTAAAACTTCTGGAAGCAGCTTGTTCCACTGATTAATTGTTCTAACTGTTGCTTGTCACTTTCTTGTCACTTTCTCCTACTAATGGACCATGTTATGTATTAAGCAATTCAAAGGGTCTGTTATAAAGAACGGTTAACTGATTGCTTTATTTGAATCATAGACTGTCTGTCTGTATAACTTTAAGCCTTGTGTTTTAGGCGGGAATGAGTACTTTAAACTGGCCGCTGCCTAGTGGTGGTCCGTATAAATATAAGTCAAGCAGCTGCTAGAGCTTGCTTCTGTGTGAACCTAATAAAGAGCTGTTAATTCAAATCCGTGTCTTCAATGTCTCACTGTTCCCAGTACACAACAGTGGCGACGAGGATGAGATATGCTGCTAGGAAGAGAGCTAAGTCACTAAAAGGGGTAAGACCAGATATCAGAGCCCTGGTTGGAACCGCGTTCCCCCCTTCTGCCTGCCAGTATGCAAATGCTGGAGGTAGCACATTCCTTGGGACCCGTTCCTAGGAACCTCACAGAAGCCCTAGCAGAATAAGACATTGGAGACGCAGCAACAGCCAAACCATGGCCAAAGTTGGCAAGCTTTCAGAGTTCGATGTAATGCACCCCAAACAATGGAGTTCGTATGTCTCAAGAGTAGAAAACTATTCAGAGCTAACCAGGTCAGAGAAGATAATTTAAAAGCTGCAACCTTGTTGTGCGTGTGTGGCCAAGCCACCTTTGATATAATGGAGAACTTAGTCGCTCCTGCTTCCTTGGAGTCAGTCACCTTCGCTGACTTGAAACAAAGACTCAAGGAGCACTTCGAACTGAAACTGTCCATCACTGCATACAGACACACGTTCGAGCAGAAAGAGCAGCAGTCAGGTGAAACCATTGCTGAATTTATAGCCGCCCTACGCCAAGCATCCCGTCTCTGCGAGTTTCCCGACCTAGAGGACAGGCTCCGGGACCGACTGGTATATGGCCTGAGAAGCAGAGACTTACAACAAAGGCTGTTCGCTAAAGATACCCTGACATTCCAGGATGCACTGAAAGAAGTGATGGCAGAAGAGACCGCAGGTGGAGCCATCAAGACTTTACATCCCTCAAAGAATTTCCCCAGCCAGACAGCTGTGCATCATGAAGAGTCAGAGAGAACTGAAGACCCAGACATTGACATTGAGATCAACCGGGTGCAGAAGATCCCAGAAAGAAGGCAGCGGCCGCTTGACAAGGCAGCCTTCTTCCCTAGCTGCAGTGGACGACACCAGCGCTCAGAATGCCAGTTCCGCGCAGCTGTGTGCCGAGCATGTGGCAAACAAGGCCACATTGCTACTGTCTGAAAAGGTCACCAGAGGGAATTGTCACACAAAGACTTCCCCAGGAGAAGAATAGAGTAGGATTTTGCTCTGAAAGAAGGAGCATCCTTAGAACTGGAACCCATCGCCTCCTAAAAGAAAAGCTTAGACTAAAAGTCAAGCTGCAAAGGCCTTCCATTCTCCATGGAACTCGACACTCGATCAGCTGTGTCTATAATTTCCTATAAGACTTTTAACTTCATCTGCAGAAATGGCAGAAAACGAGTCAGACTCAAGCCGTCAGACTTAGTTTTGACAGATTTTCAAAACTCACACATAGCGGTTAAAGGAGAAGCTACGATAAAAGTGACATTCAAAGAGTTTGAGGGTCCCCTAAGTGTCGTGGTGGTGGAAGGCCAGCGAACAAGCCTGATTGGCTTAGACTGGTTTGATGCCCTGGGCATCTATGTGACTGGCATCAACAGAACCCAAACAGCAGATTTGGTAGCTGTCTGCCAGGAGTTTGCGGACGTATTCAGTCCCAATTTAGGGAAGTACAAAGGAGCACCAATTGCTCTCCACCTTGATACAACCGTAGCCACAATCAGAGTAAAGCCTCGTAGAGTGCCTTTTGCCCTTAAGCCCAAGACTGATGCAGAGTTAGATAAGCTCGTTCAACAGGGAGTCTTGCAACCCATTGACAGCTGTGTGTGGGAAACCCCCATTGTTACACTGGTCAAGCCCAACGGAGAGGTGCGCATCTGCGCTGATTATAAGTGCACTATTAATAAGGCACTTCAGCAGCATGCATATCTGCTACCTGTAGTTAGCCACATTCTGGCATCTTTACAAGGAGGTTGCTTATTTGCAAAGCTGGACCTGGCACAGGCTTATCAGCAACTGCCTGTGGATGACACCTTTGCTGAGGCTCAAACAATAGTTACCCATAGAGGGGCATTCAAGGTTAGACGCCTGCAGTTTGGGGTCAGTGTAGCCCCAGGGCTCTTTCAGAGTGTGATGGAACGCACGTTAAAAACCATTCCAGGTGTGTGTCCTTATTTTGACGACATTTTAATTTCTGGGGAGTCAGCAGAGATATTTGCAGAACGTTTAAGGGCTGTTCTTCAGCGCTTCCGCAAAGCGGGGCTAAAGCTCAAAAGGGAAAAATGTCAAATAGTAGTCAACTCCACAGAATTCCTGGGTTTCTGGATCGACGCTACCTGAATACACCCAGCTGATTCAAAGCTCAAAGCTATTTTATAGGCTCCCAGACCAAAGTCAAAGGGAGAGCTGCAGGCATTCCTAGGGCTATTTAACTTTTATCATGCCTTTCTACCTCAAAAGGCTGCATTAGCAGAGCCTCTACACAGGCTCTTAGATAAAAGGGCACCATGGCAATGGACTAGCACCCACAAAAACAGTTTCATAGCAGTCAAATCACTGCTGTCATCAGACTCTGTGTTAACACATTTTAACGAAAAGCTGCCTATCAGTATTGCATGTGATGCATCATCATACGGGATAGGAACAGTTTTGAGCCATATAATGGCAAATGGGCAGCAAGCACCCATAGCTTATTACTCAACGACACTTTCCCCTGCAGAAAGAAATTATACTCACATTGATAAGAAGGCTGTAGCCATAGTTGCAGGAATAAAGAAATTCCACAATTTCCTTTATGGTCACCCTTTTATGGTCTTTACAGATCACAAGCCTCTTCTAGGTCTGTTCACTGCAGACAAGCAAACCCCTCAGATCCTGTCTCCAAGAATGCTGAGGTGGTCAATCTTTATGGCAGCCTACAATTACAGGCTAGCCCATAAGCCTGGTAAGGAAATGGGTCATGCTGACACACTCAGCAGACTCCCCCTGCCTAATTTAGAACCAGACCCCGCACCTGCTGCATGCATTTTATCAATTCAGGATTTGCATGAATGTCCCCTTCACGCTGGGGATGTGGCTGCTGCGATAGCCTCCAATAAAACTCTCAGCCGAGTTTTGAACTGGGTGCTGAGAGGGTGGCCAGTAACCAGTCCCGGAACAGAGTTTCAGAGCTTTATTAGAAGACAGGACGAGCTGTCTGCACACAAGGGATGTATTCTATGGGGGAGTAGGGTCATAGTCCCACACACATTAAGGGAAAGAGTCTTAGAATCTCTGCATGAGAGACATCCTGGAATAGTCAGGATGCAGGCATTCGCGAGAAGCTACCTGGCCAGGGTTGGATAAGGATATTGAGGCTCAAGTTAAAGGATGCCAGGTTTGCCAACATCCAGACCTGAAATGCCTCAAGCTCCAGTATATCGCTGGGAAACCATGCAAACTCCCTGGTCTAGGATTCACATAGACTACGCAGGACCCTTCCAAGGACAGGTGTTCCTCATTGTATTGGACAGTCACTGAAAGTGGCTTGAGGTAGCACCTGTCCCTTCTATTGTATCAGATAATGGGGTACAATTTACTGCTGCAGAATTTCAGTCATTTCTAAGGTCTAATATGATTAGACACGCCACCTCTGCCCCGTTTCACCCGGTCTCTAATGGCCAAGCGGAAAGGATGGTCAGGACAACCAAAGAAGCACTTAAAAGACTAACCAGGGGTGATTGGCATCACAGATTGGCAGACTTTTTGCTCTGTCAACACACAACTCCATGCACCACAATGGGTCATAGCCCAGCAGAGCTGAGATGGGGACGTCGGCTGACCACGAAGCTGGACTGTCTCCATCCAGACAGTATTGCAACAGAGACAGTGCAGCCCAAGCTACCGAGGAACTTGCAAGTCGGTGACCGAGTTTGGGCAAGAAACTATGGTCAAGGGACACTGTGGGTGGTAGCTGTGGTTTGTAAGGTGTCAGGACCACTCTATTACGAAGTGGTCCTGGAAGACGGGCGCATTTTGCACCGCCACATCGATCAGCTGCATCGGCGGCAGGCTAATCTAACCCTCGCCACCAACCAAGAGGAGAGCCGAGGGCTGCCTGACAGCTGCAGCGCGTCTCGATCTCCAGAGTCCTGCACGACTCACAGAGACATGCTGGATGACTCAGCCGTGGGTGAGTCGCTACTGACTGAAGGAACAGTGCCTGCAGATCAGAGTGTCAACGCAGCAAATACTGTATATTCTTGCTTTGACAATATGCAGAACTGTCTGGTATTTTTATAGTTAAATCAGGTAACAGTGAAAGGGGAGGAGAATAAGGAAAGCCCGGGAAAAAGAAACCGGAAGTGAATCACATCTTCCAAGTTAATTGGAAGATGTGAACCATGACCCCAAAATAGGGGAGGGAAAAATGCATGGAATGTATGTGCAACGGAAAAGAATCTCAGATCTAAGCATTCCACCATGCCGTACTGACATCTCTGTAACCTTAATAAATGCTTTTAGGATAAAAAAATGCCTGAAAGTCCTTTTAAGTGTTTCGTTAATCAGACACATGACACAGAGCTTGCTGGAGGACTTATTTCCCAGCTTTTCAGGAACTGCTCCACTCACAGACGGGTGTACAGGTCTACCCGAACAGACCAACCGAAAGGAGACCAGTCTACCCGGCCAGCAAAGACAAACAGGGACTGGTCTACCCGGCCAGGCAAGGCAAACAGAGACTGGTCTACCTGACCAAAGCTGTCAAAAAGACTCTGGTCTACCCAGCCAACCAAAGGTAGACTGGGAACCTCAGGCAGAAACAAGGTGATCAAAACGATCGTGGAAGCCACCTACTTATCTAAATGAATATGTACAATTTATGGATATGTATTGATTTAGGGGGAAGGGATATTATGTATTAAGCAATTCAAAGGGTCTGTTATAAAGAACGGTTAACTGATTGCTTTATTTGAATCCTATACTTTCTGTCTGTATAACTTTAAGCCTTGTGTTTTAGGTGGGAATGAGTACTTTAAACTGATTTGCCACCACCTAGCGGCGGTCCGTATAAATATAAGTCAAGCAGCTGCTAGAGCTTGCTTCTGTGTGAACCTAATAAAGAGCTGTTAATTCAACTCCGTGTCTTCAATGTCTCGCTGTTCCCACTACACAACAGACCAATCATTTCCTTAACTTTTTTCCTGTTTTTTATATGTTGAAAGAAGCTTTTTTTGTTATTTTTGACTTTTATCGCAAGTCTTAGTTCATTTTGTGTCTTAGCTTTCCTCACTTCATCTTTGCAGGCTTGGGCTATTTGCTGATATTCTGCCTTAGTTATGTTCCCCTCTTTCCACTTTTTATATTTGTCCTTTTTGTCTTTCAATTTATCAGAGAGTTTTTTATGTAGCCATGCTGGTTTCTTTTGAGAGCTGTTATTTTTCTTCTTCATTGGTATTGTGCTAGACTGGGTTTTTATAATCTCACTTTTCAAAATTTCCCAAGCTTCTTGAGTTATTTTCCCCTGGAGGATTCTCATCCATGGAATCCTTTCCAAGCTCTCTCTAAGTTTATTGAAATTAGTTCTCTTAAAGTCTAAGACTCTAGCTTGACTATGTTCTATTGCTTGTGCTTGCATAATGTTGAATTCTAATATTGCATGATCACTTTCCCCCAAGGTTCCTGTGGCTTCAACACCTTCTATCATGTCATCTCTGTTAGTGAGAATTAAGTCCAATATGGCTGATCTCCTAGTTCCCTATCTAATCTATGGCAGAATACCCAAATCATATGGACAAAAGTACTAAATCACTCTTGATACTTTTTTTTCCTCAGCAGGGCTTAATTTTTAGTTGATATTATGTCAGAAGAAACCTAGCAAGGAGAAAATCTCCTGGTGTTAGATATTGGGGTTGGTTCAGGACCTTGAATCGTAAATCCTTCTTTCACTGTCATATAGAGAGCCATTTTGGTATAGTGTTAAAGGCAGCATACCTTCTTCATAGTATGATACCACAGTGTCATATTTACTGATTTATGTGGAAATCACAGTGAAACCTCCTAAGTCCTGAAGAATGAATCTGAGAATGATCCATCAAATATAATGAAGACAGGAGACAGGAGATGGAAACTAAAACTTCCTTCAATACCTGGAGCTCTTTCAGTTTTGAATTAATATCAATAGTTAATGACCTAAACTATTACACAGAAATGTTCACCAACTGCACACGGCTTGCTTTCAGCCTCACAACATGCTTTGAATATTACTAATCTCATATAGCATGAATTGTCAATATATCACAGCAACTTGAGGACAAATTGGCAATTCAGCATTTGAAGTACTTGGCAATGTGATATATTTGTTCAGTACTTTAGTTTCAGAGACAAAAAAGGTGCTTTTGGGGAAGGCAAATGTTGCATCTGTCTGAAACTCTTTGAAGTGGACACACCTCTTCTAGGGATGATGCCAATTTCAGTTTAAAGAGTTGTAAACAGGTCCCTGCTCAAAAGCACCTACATGCCTCCATATCTGAAGTTTTGAACAGTCCTAAAAGGTACACCAATAAAAGAATGTGCTACTGCGTGCAGTAAATAATTGAATATGTAGCACAAAACTTACCTACTTGCTATTGGTTTATCCCAGTCATCATCACATAACCCTGTATCATGGAAGGAGTTGATTCGGGGCCTATTCAGAGGAGACAAACTACCCTTTTGTTTTGGACCTCTCCATTCAAAGGTATTGAAGTTGTATCCCGAAGCCTGATAATTGGGACCTAAAAAAGTAACCATATGTTGATTACAGGTGATTATGTAAAAAAAAAAATGCAGTGTGAAATTTATTCTTCCATCCATTGTATGATTTAAGCCATTATTTATTGAACCAAATATATGTGGATTATAAGAATCAGCAAGAATTAACTTGTGGTTATATGCCTGAACTCTCTTGGAAGGGCAAACTGAAATTATGTTATATTCTTAAAAACAATCTTATCATGAAGAACATGATATGCTTCCATTTAAGGCTATGTTGATTGCTCTCATTTCTGCATGTCATATGCAATATTCTAAGAAATCAATGCTATTTGAAATCTATTCATCATATAGAAAGTATGGGGAACTTTTATGGGAACCACAAACCACTCAACCAGAAGACAATATTACCAGAAGTGGTGGGGACCTTCCCTTCCCTTCTGTTCCCTTTCCTTCCCTGAGTGGAAAATCTCTGAGAGGGAAACCACCTCAGTTTCTACACCTAAAAAGCCCTTCTGGAATGGCTCAAAATATAATTTTAAGCCTGATGGTGCTAGTGGTTTAAGGATGGGAGAGGTTTGCCTTTTAAAGGCCACTTCCTCTCATTTTTTCTTATTTTTTTAAAAAGGAAAAGATTGTCCTGCCAAAAGTAATCTGTCTTACAATTTCAATGTACTATGACAAAACAAATAGATTGAGGATTGTCTATCTTGATCTATTTATGTGGTTTGTTACTGTATAGAATAGCCAGAGATGTACACTTTATTTGTTTACTTCTAGGCAGCTTGAACAAAATACAGTATACAGAGAGTTTATGGTACTTAGTCTGTTTGCTCTAATAGAGTTTCCAAGTTCTTTGTTATTGTATTGCTCCTGTTATTCCTATTCAATCATTAGAATTACATTTCATTATATTTCTCTTCCTAGAAGTGTTTTGTCTGAATGATGTTCAGCATGAGGGTTATATCACATCATTCAGAGATGTTTCTGCTATTTTGCTGGCCCCGTTCAAATCCTTTAAATATAGGACTTTTAATTATTTATGATCAAATTAATATTTTTTCTGTGCATATATGATACACACACACACACAAACAAACATACATACATGTTGTGTCCTGGGCCTGTTGAGGAAACTCAGCAGGCCCAGAAAAGGTTGCAAATGGTCCCGGGGATTGTAAAACCTGCCCAGGACCAGACTGAGCGGCGCCAGCCTTGCGCGCATGCGCAAGGCGCGAAAACGCTGCCTTCCTATTGGTTAGCACTAGCTGGGTTCCTCACCCTATAAAAGGCCTGCGAGCTTTTTGCTCTTTGCTTGGAGTTGGAGAAGGAGAATAAAGAGCTATTGTTTACACAATGCGTCTTCGTCAATTGTTTGCGAACTGCAAACTCAACACTGGCGACGAAGGTGGGATCCTTTGCAAGCTTAAGAAATGAAGAAGGACTTACCCAGGAAGTCCTGACGTGGGAAGACGGCATCTGCATCAGCGTCCCATTCCGCCAGTACAGCGTCGCTGGGGAGTGAGCTCGGCTAAAGGACCCTTTCCCAAACATCAGCTTGTAGAGGAAGCGATTGGTGAAGATCGTGAACTTTACGATGTCGAAGATTGGCCACTTAACTGATTTCGATGTCTCCCACCCAGAGAGATGGAACTCCTACGTAGCACGGGTGGAGAATAACTTTAGAGTAAACCAGATAAGAGAAGATGGTCTAAAGGCAGCAACTCTTTTGTGTGCCTGCGGACAAGAAGCTTTTGACATCGCAGAAAATCTGGTGGCCCCTGCACCTCTCGAGTCGAAGTTATCCATCATTGCTTGGAGGCACGCATTCGAGCAGAGAGACCAGAGGCCGGGTGAATCTGCTGCGGACTTTATTGCTGCCTTAAGGCAAGTGGCCAGGCCTTGTGAGTTCAAGGATCTGGAAGAGAGGCTGCGAGATCGCTTCGTTTGCGACTTAAGGAGCAGAGACTTACAACAGAAGATCTTTGCGAAAGAAGATGTTTCCTTCCAAGATGCCTTACGAGAGGTGGCAGCTGAGGAAGCAGCTGGCGGGGCTGTGAAGGCCTTGCGGCTCGCCAGGAACCCTCCGGACACAGCAACCGTCCATGAAGAGGACGCTCGAGAAGGATCAGAAGCGGATCCTGAAGAGGAGGTGGACAGACTTCACCAGCCAGCTGAGAGGAGGCAGAAGGGACATCCGGACAAGGTCCCAGCAGCTCTTCAATGCTTCGGGTGCGGAGGACGCCACAAGCGAGCTGATTGCAAGTTCCGCTCCGCCATTTGCCAGGCGTGTGGCAGGCAAGGCCACATTGCATCCGTCTGTTTAGGTCGCCAGAAGGTCCAACCTCAGGAAGAATTGCTTCAGAAAGGTACCAGGGTCCCCAGCTAACACAGGGTGGGTTTCTGCGCATTGCGCAGGAGCATTCTAAGAACAGGGACACACAAGCCCCTTAAGAAGAAACTTTCCATTAATGTAAGGTTGCAAGGGGTTCCCTTACTAATGGAGTTGGACACTGGGTCTGCTCTCTCCATTATTTCAATTAACACATTCAAAAGGATTTGTAGTAGTAGCGGCCTTCGAGCTAAACTCAGGCCATCGAATCTAATACTTACAGTTTTTCAGAATTCTATGGTGTGTGTTAAGGGGGAGGCCACCCTTGATGTGCAGCATAAGGATTTTGAAGGTCTCCTAGATGTGGTGGTAGTTGGGGGTGATCGTACAAGTCTTATTGGACTCGATTGGTTTGAGGCTCTGGGAATCCAGGTAATGGCTGCACCATTTGCAGACGGCAAGCCTTGCAGAGGTCTGCAAGGAGTTTGCAGATATGTTTAGTTCAGAGCTAGGATCCTACAAGGGGCCTCCCATTACGCTATGGTTGGACCCCACTGTCACGCCCATCAGGGTTAAGCCTAGAAGGGTACCTTTTGCCCTCAAAGGTAAAATAGATGCTGAGCTGGACAAATTGCTCCAGCAGGGCATCTTAGAACCTGAGGATTCTAGTCCATGGGAAACCCCCATAGTAACGCCTGTAAAGGCTAATGGGGAAATACGTATATGTGCTGATTACAAATGTACACTGAACAAGGCATTGCAACAGCACGCTTATCCAGTTCCTGTTGTAAGCCACATTCTGGCCTCCCTCAAGGGGGAGCGCATCTTTGCGAAACTTGACTTGGCACAGGCCCAGACTATTGTAACTCACAGGGGGGCCTTCAAGGTCAAGAGATTGCAATTTGGGGTAAATGTAGCCCCTGGCATATTCCAAAGTGTAATGGAGAGCACACTTCGAGATATTCCTGGGGTCTGCCCCTATTTTGATGACATCCTCATTGCTGGGGAGTTATCTCAAAATCTAGCAGAGAGATTAAGGGCTGTCTTGCTTCGTTTTCGCAAAGCAGGCCTTAAGTTAAAGCAGGATAAATGTAAGATAGGAGTCACTTCAACTGACTTCTTGGGTTTCAGGATTGATGCCCAAGGCACACACCCTGTTGAAGACAAATTGCAAGTTATTCAGCAGGCCACAAGTCCAAAGTCCAAGAGTGAGTTACAAGCATTCTTGGGACTCTTGAATTTTTACCATGCATTCCTCCCACACAAGGCTGCTGTGGCAGAGCCGTTACATAGGCTCTTAGACAAGCAGGCTCCATGGCAGTGGACTAAAGTCCATGACAGGAGTTTCAATGAGGTTAAGGCCTTGCTCACTTCCAATGCTGTTTTAGCGCATTTCAATGAGCAACTGCCTGTTTGCATCGCATGTGATGCATCTCCTTATGGAGTGGGAGCAGTACTTAGTCATCTGAAGGCTGATGGGACACAGGTCCCTGTGGCCTATTATTCAAGGACTCTGTCATCTGCAGAGCGGAATTACGCTCAGATTGACAGAGAAGCCTTGGCAATAGTGGCTGGCATTAAGAAATTCCATGATTTCTTATATGGCCGCCACTTCACGGTCTATACAGACCACAAGCCTCTACTGGGCTTGTTTACAACCAACAAACAGACACCTCATATCATTTCTCCTTGTATGCTGAGATGGTCCATCTTCCTGTCAGCATATGACTACACTTTAGTTCACAAACCGGGAAAAGAGATGGGCCATGCAGATGGCCTAAGCAGATTACCTCTGAAACAGGTAGAGCCAGACCCTGCTCCTGCCATTAATATTCTTTCTATTCAAGAGTTGCCTGAATCTCCCCTCAATGCAAGGGATGTTGCTGCAGAGACTGCCACTGATCACACGCTTGCACGCGTGTGCTGACATGGGTATTGTCAGGATGGCCTGACACGTGTCCAGATGCGACATTTCAAAGTTTCTGGCAAAGGAGAAACGCACTGTCTACCTTCAATGGGTGCCTATTATGGGGGAGTAGAGTAGTTATTCCTACCTCACTAAGGTCTAGGGTCTTGTCCTCACTGCATGAGGGACATCCAGGAATTGTGCGCATGAAAGCGCTTGCGCGCAGCCATCTTTGGTGGCCTGGGCTTGATAGAGCAATCGAAGCTCAGGTGCACAGGTGCCAAGTGTGCCAACAATCACGGCCTGAAGTGCCTCAGGCCCCAGTACACAGGTGGGAGGAGACGCACACCCCTTGGTCACGGGTACATTTAGATTATGCTGGGCCCTTTCAGGGGCAATTCTTCCTTATCCTTGTGGATAGCCACTCCAAGTGGCTAGAGGTTGTACCTGTCTCCTCCACTACTACTGCCAGGACCATCCAGGTGTTAAGAGGAATCTTTGCAACCCATGGCCTTCCAGATGTGCTTGTATCTGACAATGGTCCTCAATTTACATCTTCTGAGTTCCAGGCTTTTCTTCAGGCCAACCTGATCTGGCACACAACGTCTGCTCCCTTTCACCCTTCCACCAACGGGCAAGCGGAGAGAATGGTGCGCACCACCAAAGACACACTCAAAAGACTAACATACGGCAGCTGGCATCACAGGTTAGCAGATTTCCTTCTTGCACATCGCACCACACCATACACTGCCACCGGAAAGAGCCCAGCTGAACTGTGCTGGGGTCGCCGTCTCATTACTAAGTTGGATAAACTGCACCCTGACCGGGTGGCTTCACAGGTGTCACAGCCGCGGGCACCTAGGAGACTTCAGGTGGGCGATCTGGCCTGGACTAGGAACTATGGTCCTGGACACCTCTGGGTTCCTGCTGTCATCTGTAAGATCTCTGGACCTCTATCATACGAAGTGACCCTGGGAGATGGTCGCGTCCTGAGGCATCACATTGATCAACTGCGCTGGCGGTTGTCCCATGATGCTTCCACCCCTGCCTCTGCTCTCGGAGGGGAGGGGGCCCAGGAGCCAGATCACACTTCAGGTCAACATTCTGAGACATTGCCCCATTGCTCCTGGGAAGTACCGCAGGACGCTAGGGATTTCTCAGGGGTGGAGCAAGGGCATCCTCACAATTCAGCAAGTGCGCCAAATAGGGAGTCATGCGTATCCGCAAGAGCTCCAAACAGGGATTCACCTGAGGAGGAGTTTGCCATAGAGGCGGCTCCTGACTCTGGCACTTCTGCCACTGGGGTCTGGAACTATTGGGGCACTCCTGCAATGCAGGTCACGTCCGAGACTGGTCGCGGGCTTGAGGGATCAAGTTCCCTGGAGCCATCCAGGGTAGTTGGGGAATCCTCAGCCAATTCAGAAGGTTGGGAAATTCCAGCTGCTATACAGGAGCCTGGAAAGAGCTCTGGCAAATTTGCCAGTACGCCTCACCAGGGGTCACCTGCAAAACGTTTGCATAAAAGTCCTGGTCTAGTGAGCCCATCAGATGGGCCAGTAGGCCAGGCGCCCTTAAGTACAAGTCCTGGTCTGCCTAGCCGAGCAGGTGAGCTGACAAGCCAGGCCCCCCTCCCTAACCTTGCGTAGGTCACAAAGGGCTAAGGTCCCTCCTAAGCATCTAGGCAATTATGTGAGGTTCCTGTCAACACAAGGGACCTTACAAGTCTAGGTCATGGAGATGAACCTACGTTGGGAAAATAGATAGACACGCGAAGCCACATCAGAGAGTGGTTGGTTAGCCAACCCTATTAGTTATAAAAGGGTGTTGTATGGAGTGGAATATTATTTTTCTTTTATTTTATTATTATTGTAAGAAATTGGAATTGTGTGTGTTCTATCTAGGGGGGAGGGGTGTTGTGTCCTGGGCCTATTGAGGAAACTCAGCAGGCCCAGAAAAGGTTGGAAATGGTCCCGGGGATTGTAAAACCTGCCCGGAACCAGACTGAGCGGCGCCAGCCTTGCGCGCATGCGCAAGGCGCGAAAACGCTGCCTTCCTATTGGTTAGCACTAGCTGGGTTCCTCACCCTATAAAAGGCCTGCGAGCCTTTTGCTCTTTGCTTGGAGTTGGAGAAGGAGAATAAAGAGCTATTGTTTACACAATGCGTCTTCGTCAATTGCTTGCGAACCGCAAACTCAACAATACATATACAGGTAGTCCTTGCTTACCAATCACAAACATTTGATACCTATGCCCAGTCCTCAAAATTCTGGCTATTGCACTATCCACATGGTCATGTGTTTGTGATTCTAGCACTTCAAAACCAGTGTTTTTAGATAGGTACTATTATATTCATTTCCTAACTACATATTTAAAAATTAAATATAAGACAGACTCTTTTGCAAGTTCAGTTTATCAGTGACAATCTTATTAAATTAAATATGTTTAAACGTAGCACTTGGCACTTAGATTTATATACAGCTTCTTAGTACTTCACAACTGTTGTTGAAAACTGTTCTTACTTAGAAAGCCTCTTGACATCTTAATGACAAAGAGATGAAGGAGAAATAAAAGGGCAACAAAGCAATGAATTTTTTTATGCTCCCTTTTGGCAGTTTACAATAAATCTTTACTAGTCAGGTTAAAAAAGAACAATGAATGGGCCTCAGATATTCATATTAAAGAATATCTTCAGTGTGTTCTACATCTTATATTAATCTAAGCTTAAAGGATAAGCCTGTTTAGCTATGGGTGAGCTATGTATTAGTCACTGAAGGCTCTTAATATATTGATATATGTTTAAAACCTGGTTAACTGTGCAGCTTTAATGAGATTTCCACAAGACAGTTAAAAGGTGAGTTTGCCTCTCAAACAAAGCAAGAAGGTTTAATAGCTCCACTCCTGGTGTTCTCATATTAAGTATATCAGAATAAACAAATGATCCCTACCTTGGCTTCCATAACTGTTATCCATTCCAGAGCCATCCCATGATTCTACAGCACTGTCCACACTTGGGACAATCATGGAATAGATTTCAGATAGCTTTCCTGGTTTTTGTGCGGTGGCTGTATCATCTTCAGCATCACTTAATTCATTTGTATGATCAGAGGCAGAAAATTTATTTGGACTTGATGCTGATAGAAAGGAAGAAGTGTTATACATTCATTATAAATTTAAATTTAAATTTAAATATACATTCAACTTAAGTGCATAGAAAGCAATTTTTCCAATAGAAAGCTTAGACAAACAGATCTCTTCCACATTAATTATATCTATGGAACAATGGAAAGGCCCTCTCCCCTTATGACTCACAGTTGGCTTGATGGAATCAAGTATCTTACAGAGTTGTGTAACACATTCAAATAAGATATATCACACTGCTTGGGAGCATAAACAAAACAACTCTTTTGGAACCATTAAAGCAGCTAGATCTTTAACAAGGCTTGTGCAGTGGCTTCAGAGTTTCTGTCAACAGTCTCCACATATATATGTATGGCCACCCACTTTGCTTTGATGGGAACAACCATGGGGAGTTGGCTAGAAGCAGCTTTTGAAGTAGCTATGCAACTTTCTAAAGCACATAGCTGCTTCAGTGTTTCAAGTAGTTTTTTGGTGTCTGTGCATGATAAGGAACTTCTTTAAAATGCTTTAAACCAGAGGTCCCCAACCTTTTGGGCACCAGGGACCAGTTCCATGGAGACAGGTTTTTCTGCGGACCAGAGGGGGCATGGTTTTGTGTGCTGCTTTCATCCCACAGATGGGGCTTTGCTTGTTTGTCCGGACCAGTTGCTGGCATGCCGCGGCCTGCTACTGGTCCATGGACGGGGGTTGGGGACCCCTGCTTTAAACAGTCTTATTTTCTTTGTAGGTGTATGTATGTATATATGTATACATACATACATACATACATACATACATATACATATATATATACATACATACATACATAAATACATACATATATATACACACATATATATATATATGTAATGTCTGCAGCAGCTACACAGAAACACACAGTTATTATACTACCCATTTTAATCAATCTGAACAACAAATGTTATTAGAGCTCACAATAACTAATATCTATAATTAATATCTGTGTATCAAAAACAGCAATTCACAGAACCAAAAGTTAGTGTAGCATAATGAATGTAAGGGTGACTGTTGTTCTCTTTTCAGCAAACTGCAGTGAAAAATTAGGTGTATTTGCCTGAGATTTTTGGGTAATTCTAATTTTACTGTTACTGGGTTTATGATTCTTTTAATTGGAAAAGGTCCTATATATTTTGATCCAAGTTTTTACAGGGTTGTAGGGTATTTTGTAGACAAATATACCATTTCTCCTATAATGAATGGTGTGGGTTCAACTCTTTTTTTATCTGCTTGTGCTTTGTATACTTGCTTAGCTTCGTCTAGGGCTTTTCTAACTATTGGCCAGGTGTTTTGTACTTGTTCTATCCATTCTTTCAGTGATGGGATTGCCGGTTCATTTGGGATTAGTTCTGGCATGGGGTTGAAACTTTGACCGGTAGCTATTTGAAAAGGAGTGTAACCTGTGCTGGAGTGGACTGCATTATTGTAGGCAACTTCAGTGAAAGGAATAGGTCCGTCCAATTCAACTGCTGGAAATTAATAAAGCATCTTAAATATTGCTCAAGTACTGAGTTAAATTTCTCTGCTTGACCGTTCCCTTGAGGATGATGACTAGATGTCAGTCCCTGAGTGGTCCCTAAAAGGGATAAAAATTCCTTTCAAAATGCAGATGTAAATTGCACTTCCCTATCAGATATGATGCGTTGGGGTGCCCCATGCAATCTGTAAATATGCTGCATGAAAAGTTTTGCTAAGGCTTTTGCGGTGGGAATCTTTTGGCAAGGGATAAAGTGCACCTGTTTGGAAAACAAGTCCGTGACCGTCCAGATGACAGTATTCCCATTGCTTTCTGGTAATTCCACTATAAAATCCATGGCTATTTCCCTCCAGGGGGCTGAGGGATTTGCCACTGTTTGTAACAGTCCGGGCGATTTTCCTTGCAACCTCTTTGCAGTTGCGCATGTTGGGCAGCTGGCCACGTAACTTTCTATGTCCTTTTTCATGGATGGCCACCAAAATTGCCTTTTAATTAAGTGTAATGTTTTTACAAATCCAAAATGCCCTGCTGATTTTGTGTCATGGCAAAGCTGCATGAATGTGACCCTCTGGGTGGTTGGTATATATAATGTTTCCTCCACCCAAGGCAGTCCGTCCTTAATTGTGCACATGTATCTATTTTTCTGGTACCATTCATCTGTTTCCAAAGTTTTCCGGAATTCAATTCCGGTTTGGCTACCCAGCTGCAGTTTTAATTTAGCTTGGGCTCTGGTAGTTACTGGAGCTACCAGTTGTGATTCCGCCATAAGTGGTTTAGAATTGGTGGCTTGCATGCTGTTATATTGGGTGCATCTGCCAGGAAGTTCTTTCCCCTCGGCAAATGCTTGAGCGTAAAGTTGAATTGGTGAAAATGTTGCGACCAGCGGGCTTGCTTGGGATTGAGCTTCCTGGGTGTTTTCAAGGCTTCCAGGTTTTTGTGCTCTGTCCACACGTGAAAAGGGATTTTATTCCCTTCAAGGAATTGGTGCCACGTAAGTAATGACCAACGTATCCCGTATGCCTCTTTCTCCCACACGGGCCAGCGCTGTTCCGTTTTGGTGAGTTTCTTGGACGTATATGCACAGGGTTGCAATACCCCTTCATTGTTTTCTTTTAATAGTACAACCCCCACTGCCACATCACTTGCATCCACTTGTATTATGAAGGGCTTATCCATGTACTGGTTCGGCAGAAAAGAGTCTCTCTAGTCTCTCAAATGCCGCTTGGCATTCCATTGTCCATTTTAGTGGCTGGCTAGTTTTCACTGAGGCTTCTCCCTTCATTTTTACTAAGTTTGTGAGAGGCATGACTATCTGGGCAAATGAGGGAATGAATTGGTGGTAAAAGTTTGCGAAGCCCAGGAAACTTTGCAGCTGCTTCCTTGTGTGAGGTGGTGCCCATTCTAGTACTGCTCTGACCTTCTCTGGGTCCATTTCAATGGCCTGTGTGGATATGCGATAACCCAGGTAGTATATTCTTTCCTGGTGGAATTCGCATTTCAATAATTTGGCATATAGATGGGCAGCTCGCAGTTTCTTTAAAACCGCTCTAACTAGCTTTACATGTTCCGCTTTGGATTCGATGAAGATAAGGATGTCGTCTAGATCAGGGCTTTTCAACCAGTGGTACGGGTACCACCTGTGCTACATTGGCACCTGGCAGGTGGTACGCAACCATCCTAGAAAAGTGTAGCGGGGGAGGGGAATGAGCTGGACAGGTGGCAGCACCGCACAAGCCTGAGCGAGAGATGGCTGGACTTGCAGGGCTGTCAGGGCTCAGAGGAAGCGCCAGGATCAGCACCAGGCTCCAGATGGAGCTTGGCGCTGATCCTGGTGCTTCTGCTGAGCCCTGAAGAAGCACCAATCAGCTGGAATGTTGCAGCATCTCCAGGGTCTTGTGATTTACATTCAGATGCTTGGCAACTGATTCATATTTATNATTTATGACGGTTACAGTGTCCCAGGATCATGTGAAGTAACCAAAACCTGCTGCAACCACCCAGCAGATGGGGGGAATAAAAACCAAACACCCCCCACCCCCACTGCCAATCCTCAACAGAAATGCTCACAACAATGAAAACCTCAGACAGGAGGAAGAGCGCCGCTGGGCGGGCAGGTGTCTTGCTCGGCTGTGGCTTGGGGGGCTTTTTTCAGGGCCGTTGTAACTTCGAACAGTCACTAAGTGAACTGTTGTAAATCGAGGACTACCTGTACTTTATCACTTTTTTCCTTTTTTTTTTTTTTGGTCATCAAGTTTTTGCTAGGCGACTGGTGGTACTCGGATGTTAAATAGGTGCTCTCTTAGTACCTTGTTGATTAATTGCATAAATACTTTAATTGCATAAATACTGCGGGACCCCCTTGTAATCCAAATGGCAAAACTTTGAATTGGTAGCACCTCATTGGGCAATTAAATGCGATTTTCCATTCGTCCCCTTCCTTAATTCTAACGCGGTAATACGCTTCCCTTAGATCTAGTTTAGTAAAAATTCTTCCTTTTGGGAGGTGTGATAACATGTCCTTCATGAGGGGTAGAGGGTATAAGTTGCTTTCACTGATTGTATTCAATAGGCAGTAGTCCATGCATAAGCGTAAAGAGCCGTCCTTCTTCTCTCTAAAGAGGACCGGGGCAGCTATTTTAGGCTTGGCAGGTTCGATAAACCCCCTTTCTAGGTTTTTATTTATGAATCTTTCCATTTCCTCCTTCTCCTTTGGGCTCATGGATTATAGTCTGGACTTTGGGAGTTTTGCCCCTGGCTTGAATTCTATGGCACAGTCCGTGGGTCGGTGAGGGGGAAGCTCATCCATCCTCTCCTCACTGAAAACTTCAGCAAGATCTCTGTATTCCTCTGGTATTTCGGGCAGCCCCTTTTCTTCTCCCATGGATGCTTTCTCCATTCTTAATTTTGGTAGATCCCCTTGTGGTTTTAAGTCCGTAGGGTCCCCCTTCGGGAAATTGATTTCTGCTGACCCCCAATTTACCCAGGTGTTCCATTTCTTTAACCATTCCAGCCCTAGGATCATCAGGCATGCCATGCCTAGGGTCACTACAAACGTTATGTCTTCCTCATGGTTTCCCAGGGATAGGTGGACTGGTAAAGTGGCTAGGGTAACTGGCATCCCCCCTGCTATGGACCCATCTAACTGGCCAAATGAGTTTGGTTGTTCTAGTCTCCTCACTGGAATGCCCAGATTCCCCACTAGCGTCAGGCTAATGAGGCAGCGGGTGCAGCCAGATTCTATTAAGGCTTTCACCTTGACAGCTTCGGGCATGGAGGGAATTAATATAGTCTTGAGGATGGGTGCGATGGGTCAACTTACCAGAGGTTCGCCCTCCGAGCTGTCATCTGAGGTGTCCACCAGCCCTGCGGTGTAGGCTGGAGTTCCTTCCCCATGTTGGGCAGAGGTTGGGGATTCCACAGCCTCTATCACTCTTATGGCGGGTTCTTTTGGCTTAGCTGGGGATTTCCCGGATTTACTGGCTGGTGATCTGCCTAGGTTATGCTGGGGGGCTTTCGAGCGGCATTCTACAGCCCGATGCCTCTCTCTCCTGCATTTGAAACAGCCCTTTGGCTTCTTGGCCATGGCCAATGGCTTTGCTGGCTCGCACGTCGGCTCAGGAGGCGAGCGGCCCCATGGTTTTCCTCAGCGGTGCCTCTTCAGTAGGTCAATCTCTGCTTCCTCTGCCAGGATGTACCATTCGTCGAGTTGGTGTGGGTCCCCCTGGGACAGGTAAGCATCATACAGGTTGTAATTTAGGCCATCTTTGAAATGGCTAAGGAGGATGTCTTCCGGCCAGTTCAGCTTGCTGGCAATGGCCTGGAATTCTTGCGTATATTTGGCTACTGGGCGTCTGCCTTGCCTCACCGTTTTGATTCTTTCGTGGGCTTTGTGATCAGCCAGGGGGTCCTCAAATTGCCTTCTCAGAGAGGAAATGAAACGATTGAAGTCATTGAGCTCTGGGGCATCGGAATCGTGCAAATTCACCACCCAATCTGCGGCCGGTCCATCCAGAGCGGATTGCACAATACGGATACGGGCTTTGTTGCTAGGGATGTGCCGCCTGTATTCCTCCATGTAGCTTAGGACTTGGGTTAGGAAAAACCCCAAGCGTGTTGGCTCCCCCTTGAATTTCGCGTCCAGCGGCGGGAGTCTTTAAATGGATCGGTGCCTTTGCCGTCGGTGGTATTGTCTTCCATCCGGATTGCCATCTGTCGGTCGGCGGGGAGTGGGGGCCGTTGAAGTGGTCACTACTGGATCAGCAGACGTCCCTGGGACTGCAGGTTCCAATTCCCCCTCAGTGTCTCTCCAGCTGCAGCTCCGGGTGCTGGTGCCGCCGTGGGGTTCAGAATTCTCCTCCCCTAGAGTGCTGAGAGTTCTTTTCATCAGGTCAATAGCTTTCTCTAGGATCCAGTTTGAGTGCTGTGCCCAACTTCCTTCCTCTTCACTCACGTGCAGGGATTTCTCCATCTCCTGCTTCCATTCTGGTTGGTTGGCCCTCCGTCTCAGGGTCACCTTTCTTGATCTCTTTTCCCACTCGCCTTTCTTTCCAATGCCCATTGAACACCGAGGTTTGTGGTTATGCATCTCCACCCCCTCTTCTCCTGAGGAGTATGACATTTCAGATCCCGACAGCTGGCAGGTTTTCGGTCGGGGGAAAGGCTCCCTCTCCGTGGAGGTTTCTCCCTTCCCTGCCTCGTCGTCTCACATTGTAGTTTTTGCAAAGTCCCCCGGCAAGGTTCTCCCTTCCAGGTTGACTATTACTGCAGATCCTATCTAATGTAAGGACCCACTTCAATCCACATCTTAAGAAAGCAGAACTCTTGGAAATGGTTTCTTCCAACAGGAACTTTTATTAAAAGAAACTGATAGCAGGCATGATAGACAGGATCTGAGGGATTCCCTTACAATTCGATGTTTTAAAGTGTCCCTAAACAGCCCCCCACCACGCAGTTCTTCCAGGTGATTCAAACTGGCAGATTTCTAGGTGTTAACTCCAGGAAAGATAACATCAATCCGGCTCCGTTGGCGCGATCATTCAACATCTCCTCACACAGATCCCAGATGCTGCATCTTTTCCCCCCTTTTCTCTCACTGGCCGGTAAGGAGGAGAAGTTCAGAGGGGCATAGGATGAAAGGCAAATGGCTACATTGTTATGGTTAGCAGACCCAAAGCGAATCAACAAAAGGTAACTTTGTAGTGAATAGAGGAAGCGAAAGTAATAAAAAACCCCATGCATACTCCCCTCCCCCTTAGTAGTATGACAGGATCCAGGAGAGAGTAAGAATTGGTTTTATATTAGAGAAGATAAATAGAAATGAAATATAACTGGATTCTGACAATTATTCACTATTTTATAATTTAGTAAATACTGGAAAAGGCTTATCTTGATTAACTTTATTATGGATTTTGGGCCCAGTAGATGGATTGAGGTTCTGGGCAATTAGTTACTCCAATTTTCTTTGTGTTTTCTGGGGGATAGAGCCTTCTGCAGTTCCTCAAAAGGACCCCACTTTCCTTCTTTTTAACAGAACTTAGAAGAATAACTCATTCTTTTACTTTTTTTCTTCTTTTAGGTTGAACATGCACTATATATTTAGATGCCCTTAACCTTATTCCATCATTGTACCCCTTTCTTTTTTCCCATGTTCTTCATGAACCATTGTATTCAAATGAGTAGGACCACTGCTTTCCAATGTTGAGTATTACACAAAATTTTAAACAATAAATGAGATTAGCTTTTGGGCAACTCAATCTCATTGCTTTTGCTGTCCTTTGCAATAAATACTCTTTTTTAAATCACCACATATCTATTTTTATATAACATGGATTTATTTTTACAGTCCTAAACTTCTAATAGATACCACAGGCAAATGTCACTTTCATGAATATATGCACAACACATTCCTGATATGACAGAAAAGACATTGGTGAAATACCTGACATACTCACCATCTGTCTGCTTTTTTATTTTCAAGGTCACTGTCTCTCCTGCCATCTGTAACAAATGAATGGCTTCACTCAAAGGTTTCCCTTTCAGACTGTTACTATTTATTGCTAAGATTCGGTCTCCGATATGAATTGCACCTGTCCTGAAACATGAGTTAAATAAAACATGAAAAACAATCTGAGCAATAATTTAAGAAAAACATATTTCCCACTGCTTTTATTTTAAAATGTAATGTGTGTGTGTGGTAACATTAATTTTAATTTTAAAGATCTTGTCATTATGACTGTAAGCTGATAGCCAACATAGCACCAGCTGATAGCCAACATAGCATCAGCTGGTGCTTTGCTGATAGCCAACATAGCATCAGCAAAGAGCTCAGTTTCTTTCAAAGTAATATGTAAACTAAAGTTGCACATTTATTGAGCGTACTTATACTTCCAGTTAAGAAAATAACTTTTTGCAGTCAAAAGCAAATAGCAATAATAACATTAACAGTTACTTTACTTTATATTTCCACCTAAACAAAAAACATTAACAAGCATCAGTACATAATATTAAAGGATGCAACTTTTTTACTTCAAGATATGTGTTAGCATGGAAGGAATAGTTATAACCCATTTGTTGATGTGGACACAGAGAGAATTAGTAGTAATAATCAGTGTAGTATTATGCATTATTTATTCTTATTAGTGATTTAATATGGAGTACACTCTCCAGTGTGAAAATGTTATCCTTTCCATTTTGTAGGTACAGGTATAGATAGTGTATCCGAATAAATGTTGTAACATAGAAGTGGCTTGCTTATGGAGTCGCTGTGTGATTATTTAAAAGATCCTAAAAGATAGGAAGAACGCTACTGTTAATCCTCAAAATAAAGCAGCTAGTGTGATTTGGTTTCCTTTTGCTTTGTCAACTCAGCAAGATACTTGTTTCTTTAGGGAGTCTATACAGAATCTGACACAGAGTCTGATACTGTTTTTGAGCTGAGAGAGAATGACTGGCTCAAAGTCATGTGGCTGGCTTTTTGCCCAAGGGGAGACTAGAATCTGGGTTTTCTTACTCCTAGTCAAGCTCTTTTACCACTGATGGATCTCTAATGATTTATGGTAACAGTGGTCATGTTCCAAAAATCATCATTGTTGTCATCATCATTATCATCACCATTATCATCTCATAATATATATCAAGGATAATTATATACTTGTAAAAATTTTATATACTCCTAAGAATTATTACACATATTGAACAATCTCTTACACTTGAATATTATAAATACTTTTATGTCAATTTACCTTTCAGCTAATCCACCTTTAGTAAGACTCGAAATGATAATAGGATCAAAAGGCTCTTCAGTACCAGAAATAGTGATCCCAAGAGGTCCTCCATATCTCTTGAGCTCAACAGTATAAATAATTGCTCCTGAGCTCTCTTGTTCATCTGCAATACATGCCAAGAGGATGCAATTGGTCTCTTATAAAGGAATGAAAAGAATAATACATTCAGAAAAATGATCAGCATACACATCCTCAAACTGTTATGCTTCAGATACATATCTAGGCTACTACTGCCTTCTATGTTGATGACTACAGGTGAGGTTACAGGTAACACCAGCAAATATCCTTCCTTGTTCATGGAAACAAAACCAGGATTTTAAACCTAATATATCTGTAAAAATATATACAATTTCTTTCTAGATGTGATGATTCACAATCAGGGGAGTAGGTGAATGGGCCAATGCAGTATCTCAGTAAAAGGTAACTAAATGCCCTTAAGAAGTTAAAGCAAAGATCTGGGCAACTTTTCCATAAGCATATCCAACACTCCTTTAGTTCAGTTTAATATAAAGCTGAGCCAAACATATCAGCCAATGCTATTTGAACACCAGTTTTGACTTCAGCATCAGAACTTGACTCAGTTTAGTATCTTAACTTGTTATTTTAAAAATTGGGATAAAAGCAGATTTTAGACCAATGGGTTCCAACAGTAATCCTGATATACAGTAGTTAAGGTAAGAATTTTTGTTAGTGTTTGTTTCTCTTAAATATCTGTATGAAGCTCTATCAGCGCTTCTGGTTCATATATGATTTGAAAATGGTTTAGAATTCTTTTTATCTAGGGTAGAAAGATTACAATTAAGATGAATTTAACTCAGATATTGATTTATATTTTTATTAATTTTTCTATTCCACATTGTTATTTCACTGTGTTGAATGCCTTCATGTATGTATGCATATAGTGTGTGGGTGTTTGCAAAAGAAGACCTTGACTTATGACTGTGAGCCTGGAATTATGATTGTAAGTCTTTGTGATTGTTAAGTAGGTCATCAAATGACTGGACTTGACTTTATGATATTTTTTGAAGCAGTCATTAAGGGAGCAGCACAGTTGTTAAATGAATGCCATGGTGTTAAGTGAACACTGTGTTTATTAAATGAATTCATTTTATCCAAGGAGTGTTTTTTCTTGGGAATCAGCAGTAAATGCCAGAAACTGGCAAAAAAAATGAGAATTGTTGGGATCGGTCATAAGCTGAGGACTACTTGTATACATATATACACATATATTATTTGATTGTTTTAAAAAGTTTACATTATGAAGAAAATTCTTGTTGAAAATACCTCATCAATCTTTTTTCATAGCAGTGAAAAATAATATGATCTTGCATAATCTTACTACTCTGGATTTATTTACTTCTGAAAAAGTATTTCAATTTGTTTAAACTATACTTCTTTGTATACAACATACATATTAGATTATTGTGGATTCATATTCCATATTTTACAATCTTTTGTCCATCTATTTATTCCAATATATTCAAAAGTGAAGCTAGCACAATTCTTAACATTTTGACAAGGGAGTTAAGTAGTTATGTGTTTTTATACATATGTATATGAGGGAGAGGATCTGAATAAATATGGTGTCTTCTAAAATAGTCAGCTTTTAAAAAAATTCTGAAATTCTTGAGACAACATTTTTGGGTATGACATTTCTGTAAGGGTACTGAACTGGCATTGGGATAAATATACAAGATCCAAGCAAAGTGACTTTCTTCATTTCTCAGAAATTAATGAGAAGGTTTTATTCTTCCAATCTCTGATAAGACGGAACACCAAAGCTGTCATATACTGAAAAATGACTGAACGCTTTCTCCATTGAATATTTTACTTATATTGCATCCCAAAGGCATCTTTATATATACATAAAATGTTTCATAGCTCACTGTGAATACCAGAGTTATCTTCATCCTTGCGAATTTTTAGTTTTACAAGTTCCTCACAATGCTGCAGGATTTGAACAGCATCTTCCATGGAACAGTTGTCCAGTCGAATATTGTCTATGGCAAGCAATTTATCACCTAGTTCCAACGTCCCAGTTCTATTCATAAGTGGAATACATTATGTGATTAATGTTTTAAACAAGCTGAGTTGGATATTCATGCAAATAATGATAGTTTTTTAAATTTAAGAATAAAAGTGATATTTGCTTTACATATATGAAGTAGCACATAAAAGCATTTTATCCCAAGCATTTGCTTTTACAATCACATAACACTTAAAAATCCAGGGAGTTTGAGAACTGTGAGCTCACAACATAATCTTTGTCACCTTGCAAGCACTCACCTATGGGCAACACTTCCCTTCTTAATATCTGAAATAACAAGAGGATCTCCTGGTTTTCGACTAGATGGAGCTGAAATACAGAATACACAAATAGTTGCAGTTGAAATAATCCTCCCATAATTTGCATACATGCATGTTCTTTCTCTCTGGGGTAAGCAATTTATATGATGTAAAAAAGAAATTAGTCATAATAAGCCAAACAAATTGAAGTCATGAAATAAATAAGAAACAGGAAAAGAAACATGGCTAGAAATAGTTTCCATCAACATCAATCACTATACCTTTGCCTTTCTTTTTTTCTCATAAACAACTGTCATGTTCATTATGACTATACATCATTTCACATGTTACCATTTATTTATTAAACTTCTCACTTGTCTTGTTTTTGAAGATGTTATCAACTTCATTCAACTAAGAAGAATATTTTGATCTTCCCCTTCTTTTCAACCCATTCACTTTTTGTTCATATATTTGTTTTATGATTCATTCATTCTCTCTTTTGTAAATCCTCATTCATTCTCTCTATGGCAGGGGTGTCAAACTGCGGACCTGCGGGCCTACCCCAGGTCTGACAATGCAAAAAAATTCATGATATGTCACGACACATCACATGACGCAACGAGTTTGACACCTGTGCTCTACTTGTGCTGGTCATTCATCTTTGTCTTTAGCACTCATTCACATTTGATCCTTTCTTCTTCTTCTTTTTTTATCACATATACTTCTTAATCTATCATTAATATTTTATGGAAAATATTTACACATATATTTTATATGCTAGCAGGAATATCTCATAATTAAATGGAGAGGGAATATGCATATTTGGTGTATTATACTAGGGCAATTTTCTTTCTATATATTATACATGTTATCTTGGCATAAAGCATCTGATCTATTCTGTGACTATATATCAGGGAAGGTTTCCTTTAATTTATTTCTTGAAATTCTAAAGGTTTTCTACTACCACACACCTCAGCACTCATAAAAACATAATTTCATTCATTCAGATATATACATTAATATACTTGGCTCAGATCCTTCACATTCTTAAACAAAGATTAGCCCAGCTTAGTGTTCTCCATAACGTTGAGGAACTCTGGTTAGGATGATCAAGTTTGTGGAATATAAAAGATAAAAGCCACTAGGTTGGCAATCATGATCTAATGATTCTATAATTGATAAATTATCTAGAAAACTATAGAATTAAGCCTGAAAAATTAATGTTGGACATTTTATTCCTATTTTAGGTGAAATAATGAAATTATTATATGCTCACCATTAAAATTTCTTAAACTATATACCACAATTTGTACTACACAGGCTCCTGTTTCCTTCTAGTAATAAAATTTATGATGGTTCCGATTTGAAAATAGGTACTAAAAATATTCCAGGATAGATCAGTAGTCTAATTCAACAGAAGCTGAATCTAGCTATGTTACATCTGGGTAAGTTTGTGAAAAAGTTAGGTATTTGATTTATGAAGATGTTTCATTGTATAGAAATTGCAGTATCTTGCAAAAGTCTATAATGATGATGATGATGATGATGATGATGATGATGATGATGATGATGATGATGATGACGACGACGACGACGTTGGAAGATACCTTGGAGGTCATCTAGTCCAACCCCCTGCTCACACAGGAAACCCTATACCAGGGGTCGGCAATCTTAAACACTTAAAAAGCCACTTGGACCCGTTTCCCAGAGAAAAGAAAACATTGTCCCCCCTCGTCCTTCTCTTCATTAGACTAGACATTCCCAATTCCAGCAACCGTTTCTCATATGTTTTAGCCTCCAGTCCCCTAATTATCTTTGTTGCTCTTCTCTGTACTCTTTCTAGAGTCTCAACATCTTTTTTACATCGTGGTTACCAAAACTGGATGCAGTATTCCAAGTGTGGCCTTACCAAGGCATTGTAAAGTGGTATTAACACTTCACGTGATCTTGATTCTATCCCTCTGTTAATGCAGCCTAGCACTGTGTTGGCTTTTTTGGCAGCTGCAGCACACTGCTGGCTCATATTTAAGCAATTGTCCATTAGGACTCCGAGATCCCTCTCACAGTTACTACTATTGAGCGAGGTACCACCTGTACTGTACCTGTGCATTTGGTTTTCTTGCCTAAATGTAGAACCTTAATTTTTTCACCATTGAATTTCATTTTGTTAGATAGCGCCCAATGTTCAAGTCTGTCAAGATCCTTCTGTATCTTAAGCCTATCTTTTGGAGTGTTGGCTATTCCTGCAAGCTTAGTGTCATCTGCAAATTTGATGAGTTCCCCATCTATCCCCTCATCCAAATCATTGATGAAGATATTGAAGAGCACTGGGCCCAGAACACTTCCCTCCATGTAGATGCAGTTCTATAGAGGACCACACACTGAGTACAGCCGGTCAGCCAGCTATGAATCCATCTGGTGGTGATGCTGTCTAACCCACATTTTTCTACTTTATCAAATGCCTTACTGAAGTCCAAGTAAATTATATCCACAGCATTCCTCTGGTCCACTAATTTTGTCACCTGGTCAAAGAATACAATAAGATTTTTCTGGCATGATCTGTTTTGACAAACGCATGTTGGCTTTTGGTAATGACTTTGTTTGCCTCTAGGTGTTTGCTGATTCGTTGCTCGATTATCTTTTCCAAGATCTTCCCAGGTTTTGAGATCAGGCTGATAGGTCTGTAGTTTCCTGGATCCATTTTTCCCCCTTTTTTGAAGATGGGAACTACATCAGCTCTTTTCCAGTCCTCTGGTAGCTCCCTAGTGCTCCACTTTCTTTGAAAGATATAGTTCAGTGGTTCTGAGATCACAGCTGCCAGTTCCTTCAGAAGCACAGTAAAAGTGGCTAATAATTCCTATGTGATCTCTGGAATATGCAGTATATTTTCTAAGAAGTTCACAGTAATTAGGAACGTGGTAAGAAGACATGTCTTTTGACAATCTATGCTATTTATGTTAATTTTTTTCCTTCCTAATATTTTTCCACAAGTGAAAGGTCCACTTTTTGGATAAATGAAGTGTTGATCCATTGGCTGCAACAAGAATTGAATGATTGACTTGTTGCCTGAGCTTGACATCATGGTCTGAGAGAGATCATCTAGCTGGCAGGACTAGAATTCACATTTCCTGGATTGTAGTGTGGTGCCTGAAGCACTAGACCAAATTGGCTCTTTATCTGCTATGTATTTATTTTAGTTGCTGGCTTTAATTTTTTCTCTTGCATTTCTGGCATTTTTGAATAGTTGTGCACTACCTTGATGTTGCAATAAACATTGCAGTAAATAGAAAGGCAATATATAAATTGAATAATAAATTTTAGAAATTATAATGGGTTATATTCCCCCTTACTATTATTTTTAGAAATATAAGTTTTCCAAGTTGCATGCCAGAGGCATTATACATTTCTAAACATAAAAACTAAACTTTTTATAAAAGTTAAAAGTAAAGTTTATATAAAATATAAACTTTTCAAATGTGAATTGAATAAGGATGAGACCTTGAAAACAGAACTGACAAAGATTTCATGCCTGTGAACAACCAATATTTTATATTGGTTAGATATAAATATATTTTTATGACTTAAATCAAGACCAGAGAATGTGAGCTGCTTTCTTTTTATGAATGTAATACAGAATTCTTTGCAGCAAATTATTGTAACACATATATTTCAGTAGGTTTTTTAAAATAGTTTGATTCATGTTACAGAATTTGATTTGTCAAGAATCTATATTGCATATCTCTATAATTGGTTTAAAGCAGACCAATTATATTAATATATTGATAATCCTTACATCTCTTAAATGCACGTTTCAAACATATAGTTTATTAAGACTAAAATTAATTGTACTACATGCATAAGAATATATATATTATGTTATCAATTATCTAGTTCAGTAAATGAGAACTGAGCCAAATACCAGATTACAATGCTCAACAGATTGCCATCTAAAATCAAATGGAAATATTACTTTTAATACCAGAATTCACTTGATAAAAGTATAATGTCTCAATTTAATAGTTTGCTAAAAAATAAATCCATGAACCCATAACTTGCACCAGAATTATTGTGTTGTATCCAGAATCTATTGTTGAGAACTCATTTACACCTAAGCATTTTTAGCATCACATACAAAATAATATGCCATTCACCTACTTTGCTAAATACAGCAGGACTTATCTTGACCAATTACATCACCAGGAATAATTTGGGTATCATCTGGAGACTTCTATCATTGTTTACCTTGATTCTAGACTATTTATGAATAAATACACTGGTTACAATATGTGTGTAGACAAACATGTAGGTGGAATGTAGTCTGGATTCCCAGGAAGGAGGAGTACATTGCAGAGGAGTAAGAGTCAGTTAAGTTTAGATAATTTACTTGGGAGAAAAAGAGTTAAGGCACTCCTCTCTGGGAATTCTCAAGATATATCTTTAATTAAGCAAATGCTTTAGTTTGGCAAGATTTCTGTCTATAGGTGAGGAACAATAAAGGAAACTGTTCTGAAGAACCTCAGTATGTCTTTCTTTGTTTTTGTAGCCTGGCACATACATATACATGTGTGATTATTTCTGCCTTATATTTCCTGTTCTCAAAACTGTTACCAAATTGTAAGAGGATACAGCATTGCAAAGGAGGGGGGTATCAAAATATTATAACTACTTATTTGCCAGTGCTGGCAAGGTTGGTGTATAACAAAACAATTAAAATCATTTTACAATAACACATTAAAAGAGTTTTCTAAGAAACATTATGAATCTGCAGAAAGTACATTGGGAATCTTGCCTCATGAGGGAGAGAACTTAGTATCAGAGATGCTGTTACAGAATGGTGCTGACACAGGCTCCCACCATCTCAACTCTCTGGGTGATGGGACACACAAGACGATGCCTGAAAAAGTCTATATAGTAAACAACTGAAGTTACTGAACTTCAAAAACTATCCTATTCCACATGTCTGGAAAGATGTGTTCACACACACATACACACATACACACACACACACACACACACACACATCTATATATAATATTATGTATGTAGGTATGTGTGCGTGTGTAAATAAAATAAATAAGCGAAGTAGTAAAAACTTCTGTTTCTCTGTATTAATATTTTGTGCCTCAACTTTTCTCCAGCAGCTTGTAATTTCTTTCACATTTCATCCTTGCTATAAATAACATTGACTATATTTACAAAAAGAAAGATGTAATTATTGCAGAAGCTTGACAAAATTTCAATTATCGTAGCTAAGCGATTTAGTAGATTCCAGCTTGAATAACAATAATAACTCTAGTTTGAGAAAGCAAGATAAATTGTATAGCACCATATTATAATTCCCTACTGAAAACCAATATTATAAAGAAAAGGTAATGAAAAAAATCTACTTCACTTACAGCTTATGGTGATGCCAAGTTCTACATTATGCCTCTTTGGTAGTTTTACATGAAAAGTGCCACTACTTGGTATGACAGATTCTGTAATTAAAAGTTGTTTCATTTATTAATTTATGCCAAGTAGAACTCCATTCACTGCATTTTCATATATAACATACTTATTCAAGCGGTTCACAACTCTGAGTCAAAAAAGTAAGTAAATCAAATGTTGAATTATATTTTAGGTTAGTGATTTAAAATAATCACGTAGCACTGATTCTTAAGGTAAAGGCCTGAAAAGTAGAAGAGGAAACTTTAACATATAATAATATTGATGTTACATAAAAATGAAATGTTTTAAAGATCAACATTGATTTAACTAATTGTACAACATAATTATTAGAAAAACCCTTTCAACATACTGAAATATTTATCTAAAAATAAACTGTTACTGTTTTAAATAAACTGTTAAAATAAACATATTGCATAAAGAATTACTAAAATGACTGGTATGTTTAAAATATTTAGCATTCTGATGCTGTACTGTATGTATCAGCAGTCTGAATTTAATGATAATTCAGTTCAATTATTATATCAACATTTCTAATATTATTTCATATACTATTATAAGTTAAAAAGTAATCTTAATCGTATTCTTCTATATATATTTTAAATCTCACCCATTCTTAGCTCATATTTAGCAGTACCTAAACTGACTGACTGACTTACTTTATTTATCAATCAAGCTTATATGCCACCTATCTTGCCAAAGGAGACTCTAGGCCAGTGGTTCTCAACCTGTGGGTCGGGACCCCATTTGGGGTCGATCGACCATTTCACGGGGGTAGCCAAGCAAGGCTGTCCGTCATTTTTTTTGTCCGCCATTTTTTTCCCACTTTTCCGGCGGGTGCCTTACCTCCCTTGGGCTGGGCCAGCTGGTGGTCGGCCTGCTCCATCTCTGCCGCTTGCCAGCTACGCCTCGGCCGGCGCAGGGGGCGGAACCACGCATGCGTGGCGCTCCCAGGCAGGGAAAGTCCTTGACTTACAACCGGTTGGGTAGTCCTCAACTTACGACCGGTTTAGTCCTCGACTTACGACCGGTTGGGGTCGCGGCATTAAAAAGGTTGAGAACCACTGCTCTAGGCAACTTACAGACATTGAATAAAATACAGAATAAAACATTCAAACAATAAATAAAAGTCTTAAATTTAAAATTGAATTAAAATAAAACTAAGCAGGATGGAAAGGGATGGAGCAAAGTATGCACAGAGAGAAGGTGGATGTTTTTTTACTCTAGTAGACATCCCCAATGTGCCATATCCCAATTAGAGCCCCAAGCTAGTTTCGAGATGCCAGAATGGTGGGAATGGATCTGATTTTTTTTGGGGGGGGGCAAGATGTTCCAGAGGGCAGGAGCCACAGCAGAATAGGTTCTTCTTTTGGACCCTGCCTGCCAAAATTCCTTGGCTGATAGTGTCCACAGCATGCCCCTTCTGCTGGCATGAGTGGGCTGGGCTAATCCCGCCAGAGTGATTAGGTTTTCAGATAGCCCAGACCCATAGCATGGTAAAGGTGATGACCACCATTTTGAATGGGATCTGGAAGCAAACTGGTAGCCAGTGCAGCTTGCAGAGTAGCAAGATAACATGGGTCACTATAGGGACCCAAGAACTAACTACGCAGCTGTGTCTGCATCATCTGAAGTTTTTGGTTACTCTTCAAAGATAGCCTCAGGTAGAGCACATTCCAGTAGGCCAAGTGTGAGATGACCAGGCTTGAGTGACTGAAAGCAGGGACTCTCAGTCCAAGAAAGGACACAATTGGTATATAGCACATAGTTGTGCAAAGGCTCTCTTAGTCATGACTGTAATTAATAATGCATAGAAAATTCCAGCCAATTTATTTTATTCTCATTTCTCTATACATGGATTGTTAATTTTATCATTTCAACTCTTTTTAATACATTGTTTCTAGTTATTCCAGGTAATTCCTTCCCTGCCTATGGTGTACAAATAGTCCTTGACTTACAACAATTCATTTAGTAATTGTTCAAAGTTACAATGGCACTGAAAAAAGTGACTTATGACTGTTTTTCACATTTGTGACAGTTGCAGTATCCGCATGGTCATGTGATCAAAATCCAGATGTTTGGCAACTGACTTATATTTATGACAGTTGAGGTATCCTAGGGTCATGTGATCACCTTTTTCAAACTTCTTTGACAAGCAAAGTCAATGGGGAAGCCAGATTCACTTAACAACCATGTTACTAAATTAACAACTGCAGTGATCCACTTAACAACTGTGGCAAGAAAAGTCACAAAATGAGGCAAAACTCACTTAACAAATGTCTCATTTAGCAACATAAATGTTGGGACCAATTGTGATTGTAAGTCGAGGACTGCCTTTATGTTGTATTTCGAATAAACAGCAAAATAATTTCAGCCTGTACTTTGTAAGATCCAGGATGAATATTAATAAAATATTGCCATATACTAGGATTGTGTATGCATGTGTTATAACAAATTCAAATGGATTAAATTCTCACCATTTTAGAATATGGAATACTCCACTACTCATACCTGCAACATCGAATTCAATTTCCAAAGTGACCTTGCTAGTGATAGAAGAATCTCTGAGGAGCTGATTAGCTTCATCAAATGTGCTATCTTCAGTTAGGATCCCATTTATAGCCAGTATTCTGTCTCCTATTTGTAGGATGCCACACCTTCATACAAAATAAAGCAAATAAGATTCCAATATATGGAAAAACAATAAACTTAATTCAACTCTTATGAAAGATAACAAAATTAAATGTTCTGCACTAAAAGATTGCTCATTTATCATTTGCAATTTTATCTAATTTTGTTCCAAGGGAACTATATTATCCTGTGTTTAAGATCAGCATGGTTTTAACATAAAATATTAACATAGTTTAAAAAGCAGTGGTGATAATGAGGGTTTTTTGTGTTTTTCAATTTAAGTTAAAAGGGGGGGGTTGCAATGTTCAGGAGGGTGAAAAATGTTCTTCACTTGGAATTATTAAAACAGATATATGTTTGCAAGGGTTGTGTAGCTACTTTAAAAACTATTCCTGACTTTGCATGAATGTGTATGCACAACTGTTTTCTTAGAGAAAAACAGTATTATTGCTTTAATGACTCAAAACATCTCCCAAAACTAAAAATTCCAAGCTCTGATATTTAAAGATTTGATATTATTATTATTGTTCATTGCATAGTCAGCCAGATGTTCAGACTGGGTTTGGCATTTTTTGTCTACCTATCTAGTCCTTACCAAGGACCTGGGATAGGCAGATGTGGATGTTTGATGGTATTACAGATATCGTCACAGGATGGAAGCTGTTCCTAGTAAGGCCGCCTTTTGCAATTGACTGATGGCGAATTTGTCAATGACAATGCCAATGGAGCACATAGTGCTCCAGTTGTTTTGGGATTGCACCAAAGGCACCTATTACTATTGGTACTACCCTTGCTTGCCTTTGCCATAGTTGTTCTATTTCTGTTTGTAGGTCTTTGTATTTTGTTATCTTCACCAGTTCTTTCTCTTCTATTCTGCTGTCTCCAGGTACTGCCACGTCCACTATCCAGACTTTTTTGTCTTTCTTATTGACAATTGTTAAGTCTTGGGTGTTATGTCCCTGTCTGTTTGAATTCTAAAGTCCTGGAGCAATTTAACTTCTTCCTTTTCTATGACTATCTGTATTTTATGGTCCCATCAGTTCTTGCTTGTTGGCAAATGATATTTTTTGCAGATCTTCCAATGTATCATTTTGCTGCTTTGTTATGTCGCTATGTGACCTTCTTGTAGCAGCTTACCAGGTGGTGCACTGTTTCTTCAGCTTCTTTGCATAGGTGGCACTTACTGTCTGTTGCTGTCTTCTCAATTCTGGCTTTTATGCATTTGTCCTTAAAGCTTGGTCTTGTGCAACCAGAATTAGTCCCTCACCCTCTTTCTTCAAGTTTCCTGCTTTTAGCCATCGCCAGATCTTATTATATGCTTTCCCTAATTTTTTTTAATGTACTGGCCATGTAGTGCTTTGTCTTCCCATACTTCCATTCTGTTCTTCATTTGGTCTTTCTTGTAAGCCAGTTTGGTCTTTCTAGTAGTTAGTAAGCCTTCCTGGCATACTAACTCCAATGCATCTTCTTTATTGTCCTTCAGATATTTTTCCAAAGCCGTTTCTTCTTCTTCAACCAACTAATGTACTTGCAATATTTCATGCCTACCTATTTGCCTTGGCAGGTAGAGTCTGTCAGTATTGCTGCAAAGATGTACAGCATAATTCATAGACATTATTTTTCTGATCTTTCTATCCATTGCTTTTAGTTCTGCTTGATTCCAGCTGTGTACCTAATGACTGGAATTGCCCAAGTGTTGATTGCCTTGATAGTATTTCCTCCATTGAGTTTGGATTTTAATATCTTCTTCACTCTCTTGATGTATTCACCTCTAATCTTTTTTTTTATTTCATTATGCTTGATGCTATCAGGTTGAAGGATGCCCAATATTTGTAGTGTAGTGTTACCCCCTCAGAGGCTGCCAAAGCCCAGGCCCTCCTAGCCCCCCCTTTAGCTGCACTCAGCAGCCGTGCTCTTGGGGCGCCGACTGAATGTCCTTTTTTTCAGTGGGAGCTCACACGGAGTTAAGGGGTGGCAGGTTCTCATCATCAAAGAGGTTCACAGGAACAAGCAGACCAACTCCCAGCCATGGCAGTCAGTATATGGCAATGTTTATCAACCCCCTGGCAGTTGTGGCAATAATAGTCAATAGCTTGTAGCAACCACTTGGAAGAACAGGGAGGGGGAAGCCCTCTGGCTCCCGGCAGCATTGGAAAACACGGGCGAAGATAGTCAGCGCCGCAGCAACAGCTCGCCCCGCGAGGGCAACTCCCCGCAAGGTCTACAGCTTGCACAGGTGATAATGATCACAGTTTGAATGGCTGCTGGTCTCTGAAGCAGTAGCCACCAGCCTCTCCTCCTCTTCTGTTGGCACTCGTAGTCCCAGGTCTCTCTAAGCTGAATTTCTCCCCTTCCTTTCTAGTTAAAACCTAAGTCTAAAAAAACCCCAGCAAGCTTTCTCTCTTCTCACTCTCACTCCTCCCTTCGCTCGGGATATCCCCTGTGAAGGAAAGTGATAAAACTCCATTTTCTCACTCTCTCTCTCCTTCCCTTTATTTCCGAGAACAGAATCACATAAAAGAACCCCAAACTCCTCTCCGGTTTCACCTGGTCTCTCCCCCGGCAACAACAACCACCCCATCCCCCTTTCTCCTTCCCTTTTTCTCTCTTTCCACCCAATCCACGCCCGCTATGCCCAAACCGGCTGCAGCTGTCCGAGCGTCCCACTTGTCTCTCTCCAGCAAGGCTCCCACAAAGCCTTTCAGCCAGCCCTGCTACAGTAGTAATCATCTTCATCCAAACTCTTAATGTTATTTGCACGGAGCATCTTGATTCCTTCAGTTTTCACTATTTTTCCTTGTTTGTTAGTGAGTGTGGAACATTTGTCTAATTCAAACTTCATTGCAACATCTTGGCTATATATACAGAAAGTATTGAGCAGCGATTGTCTTTCAGATGGGAGATTTTCCATACAGCTTCAGATTGTCCATGTAAAGGAGGTGGGATAGTCTGGCAAATATTTTGAAGTTTGATGGCCATAGTCTGAGCTATTCAGTATTGTTGATAGAGGAAACAGTGCAATGACAAATAGTAGTAGTGATAGAGAATCTCCTTGGAATATTTCTCTCTTGATATTAACCTCTCCCAGTTTCTCACCACTGACCTGCAATTGTGTCATCGATCTTTGCACAAAGCTTCTGATGTTCCTACTGACTCCTGTTATTTCTAGGCACTTGATTATCCATTCATGTAGCAGAGATCTGAATGCCTTTTTGTAGTCAATCCATGCTACAGTCAAGTTGGTCTTCCTTCTCTTGCAGTTTTCCAAAAACATTTTGTCAACTGAGTTTCATCTTTTGTTCCTCTGCTTAGGTGGAAAGAGATTGTTTTCAACTAGATGCTGTTGGAGTGCATCAGCTACCACACCAGTTAGCAATTTGAAAGTTGTTGGTAAGCAAGTAATTGGCTTGTAGTTGCTGGATCTTTTATTATCAAGTAGGTTTTCCTAGAGGTTAGCCATTCCTCAATTTCCCCTCCTTGTAGTATGTTATTAAAGTACTTGGCAACAAGTGGGTATAGATCAGTTAGATGTTTCAATCAGAAACCATGCAGTTCATCTTCACCTGGTGCTGACCAATTCTTGATCTTTTTTGCTATTTTCTCTACCATTTCTGCTGTTATTATTTCTTTTAACTTTCAACTTCTTTTTTATTCTTATCCACCTCTTTTAACCAAGCTGCATCCTTGCTGTACTTCTTTGAGTTATCCCATACCTGCGCCCAGAACTGCACTGTTTCTTCCTTGTCAGGTACTGACTGATTCACTGCAGTTTCTCCATTGATAGATTGGTAGAAACGTTTCTGATTGGATTGAAATTGGGGGTTCTACTGATCTTCTTGGCTATAGCTGTTATTTGCTCCTTTATTATTTCCAGTGCTTCCTTGATCTTCCTTATTTCTAAGTGGTATTTCTTGGTTAGATATTCTTTGGTCTTTTTGTTCTTCAGCTTTTTTTCTTCATCTGTTCTAGCTTGCTTTCATCTGATCTCAACTTGCTGATCTTATTTCCCAGTCTAATCTTCCATTTTTGTGGTGCAGTTTGGTGTTTTTTTTTCTTCTCTGTTGATTTTGCATCCCAGGTATTCAGTTATAACTGCAGCTGTGCTGTATACTAGTTGGTTTGTTTCTAACAGTGAGTTGATGCTTATACTTGATATTGCAGTGTTTGCATCTTTTAAAATTTGTGCTAGCTGTTTCTTTGGAACAAGATTAAATGCAGGCAGCCTTATTCTCATGCTTTTGTGCTGTTCTAGATGCTCAGTTATTCTTTGTTTCAATTCTTTTACTTCTTTAGTAAAAGGGCTTTGTTCTTCCTGAGGCAGAGGAGAGGGTGCCTGATTTCCAAATGAAAACAGTTGTATATCTCTGCTGGATTTATCTACTACCAACTCCCCCTGATTTACCTCTACATTCTGAGTTACTTCTGGCAAAGCTTTGATATCTTTGCCCTGGCTAAACCTTTGCAGTTCTTCCAATTCTGCTTCTGTAAATACTTTATTTCGAATTACAATTCAATGTTGATCTGCTAGCCTTTGTTCTCTTTTTTCTAATTCTGGATGTTGTTCTTTCCAGAACTGGTCATTTGTTTCAAATATCCACTTCTTGTTGGACTTGATCTGTAATAACAGATAATTATTTGTTTTCAATCACAGTATATTTGCGTCAAGTCAATACCTTTTCTTCCAGCAGTTCTGCAGCTGCCAGCCCTGGTTGCTCAGCTAACAGTCCTGAGTCCTATAGCCCATAGGTCCCCAACCTTTTGGGCACCAGGGACTGGTTACAGGGAGAGAGGTTTTTCTGCAGACCAGAGGGGGCATGGTTTTATGTGCTGCCTGCATCCTGTGAATGGGGCTTTTCTTGTTTGTGTGGACTGGTTGCTGGCATGTTGCGGCCCGATACTGGTCCACAGATTAGGGGTTGGGGACACCTGCTGTAGCCCATCCAACATCTAACGTGGACCTTGTTATACCAGGTGACATCTGAACCAGTATGGCTTTCTGAAATTTATGTCTCACCATATTTTTAATGGGAGAGACATTCTTTGTCTGACTCCTCTGATGAGACCTGTCCAGTATGGTTGAACTTCTGGCATAGCTCTCGTATTTGTTAGAGCACACAAGCCCTACAACCATGTCAAGGTAGTGCCTCACTGGGGGGTTACAATTATTATTATTATTATTATTATTATTATTATTATTATTATTATTATTATTATTATTATTATTGATTTAAGGTTTAATCTTCAGTTCAATTCACAGGCTGAGACTGGTAAAAACTTAACAGTTCAAGTCCTAACTAAGGATCTAAGAGTTATTAAGATAGCGTCCGAATAATAGCCAGTTCGGAGTAGGATGGTTTTTTGCAAAGTCAGAATATACAGGTCTAATAAGTTCAAAATTTCCATGTATCTAGGCAGCCCTTTGGGTATTGCTCCAAGGGCTCTTATTACTATTGATACAACCATTGGTTTCTTCCTCCATAATCACTCAAATAATAATAATAATAATAATAATAATAATAATAATAATAATAATAATAATAATAATAATAATAATAATAATAATAATAATAAAGTTGGAAGGGACCTTGGAGGTCATTGAGTCCAACCCCCTGCTCAGGCAGGAAACCCTACACCAGTGATGGCGAACCTTTTAGAGACCAAGTGCCCAAAAACTAGCCCCGCCCCTGCTCCGCCCCCACCCTGCCTGCCCGCAGGGCCACTCATTGTCTCTAGGGCCCACCGCAGATCGCCCGGCAGCACCATGGCAGCCACGCTCTCTGCCCGCGCCCCGCAGCATTAACTGTGCACGATGGGGCATGAGGGCAGAGTCTTGTCTACGCTGCATGGCTGCCATGTCCTTGGCTGCACTACTCCGCATGGGCCACGCTCGGGGGTGACTCTTCTCCAGGAGGGCTGCTGGTGAGGAGGGGGTCACAGGGAGAGGCAAGACTGGGGCAACGGCACATGTGCCCACAGAGAGGGCTCCGAGTGCCTCCTCTGCCACCCGTGCCACAGGTTCGCCACCATTGCCCTACACCATTTCGGACAAATGGCTGACCAGTCTCTTCTTAAAAACTTCCAGTGTTGGAGCATTCACCGCTTCTGGAGGCAGGTTGTTCCACTGGTTAATTGTTCTAACTGTCAGGAAGTTTCTCCTTAGTTCTAGGTTGCTTCTCTCCTTGATTAGTTTCCATCCGTTGTTTCTTGTCCTGCCTTCAGGCGCTTTGGAGAATAGCTTGAATAGCTATTATTTAAATTTATTTTCCACTCATTTCATTTCAAAGCCACTCTGGGTGGCTTATAGCATAAAAGTATCAGATGTCAGTTATAACTGAACCAGGAAACTGAAATAGCAATAGCACTAGCATTTAGACTTATATTCTGCTGCACAGTGCTTTACAGCACTCTCTGAGTGGTTTACAACATCAGCATATTGCCTCCAACAATGTGGATCCTCATTTTACCAACCTCAGAAGGATGGAAGGCTGAGTCAATCTTGAGCCAGTCGGAATCGAACTCCTGGCAGTGAGCAAAGTTAGCCTGCAATACTGCATTCTAACCACTGTGCCACCATGGCTCCTTATACTTTCCTGCTAATCTAAAATAGCAAATTTTTAAATTAAGCTTCACAGATTCCATTAGGAAAAACTTATCTAATTTTCTTAAATCCAATTGTGTGTCAAAGATGGTCATCTAGATAACAAAAAGAATAATTGTGATTTTTCTCATGCCTGATCATTTTTTTTAAAAAACCTTTTGAAATCAAAATAGGAAAGACAGTATGTTTCACACTTTTTGTGAACAATCCTGAGAAATTATCTGAATCCCGAAAATAGTTACTGCGAGGGATCCAAGGTGTTCTAAGCAATAAAGAGGGCTAATAACCTTACCAATCATTTCAAATAAACTCACTTTTCTGCTGGACTGTCAGCTTCTATATAGGAAATCAAAGGTGGAGATGATAATGTCTCTGTAGCAAACACACTGCCCTGGAGCTGTATTCCAAATCCTACAATTGGATCAGCTGTCAACACTACTTCGGTAGTTTCCGTGTGGACAACTTGCCCTGCCAAGCCAACAGTGCTAGAGGCTAGTGATACTGCAAAATATATCAAACAGAAATAATGATATTCAGAATGATAGCAAATGAATTCGTTTTCTGATGCAAATACTATCTATATAAAAACTGTAATAAAATGTCAGTGTCACTATTTTCAGTTAGAATAGTTAAAATTCAGGATCAACATACCATAGTACTTAGCTAAACCTAGGAAGAGCAATGAATATTAGAATTAGTGTATAGGTGAAAGAGATGATCTAAAACCCCGTAGGTCAGTTATTTCAGTCACAGAATCAGAGGATTGACTGTCTTTACTCTAGTCAAGTCTCTGGTCCTTAAATACTCGGCTTCTAGAAAGTCCCAGACATATGATTGACATGTTTTATTACCAGACTTTTAATACAAAGGGTAATGCAAACTGTATACATCCTTCAGTCAAATATATCCCAGATTCTCTTTAAAAAGCTAGACTTATTAAAATTTGTATTTTAACTGTCCTATTTGTAAATAATTATTACAGAAAAGCCTGACTACAGTACAGAAGGAAAGTAGATATTTGTGAAAATAATAACATTGGGTTACATGCAATGACACAAAAGTTGATTTTTTTTCTCATGCAGGGAGACTTTCTTGTACTTCTCTACCATGACCATTCTGCTCAAAATGTGTTCAGGAAGGACTTCAACCTTTTAAAACTGCGCTTCCCAACCTTTTGGGCACCCAGGGACCAGTTCCGTAAAAAACAATTATTCCATGTGGTTTTGAGTGCTATCTAGATCCCACACATGCGTAGATGAAGCTTTCTCACTAGCATGGCCCAGTTCCTAATGGGCCATGGACCTGGAGTTGTGTAGCTCTGTTCTAAAATATTTAGCAAGTGCATTAGTGATCTTGATGGAGCTTGATGGAAAATCTACCATAATTGTCTATTTTGGATACAACTACAACCACAATAATAGATTTGTAAATAATTATATAAAGCTACAAGGTTCTACAAGAAAAATTGTCAAGCTTCTCCTTAGCAGATAAAAATGACTACCATTTTTATATGTTTAGTTAAGGAGAGAAGCTCATAAACCAAAAAAGCAGCAATAAAAAAGTACCAGAAGGTATTCTTTCATGAAGATTGATTGATCCAAGACTGCTTCTTTAATTGTTGGATTGTTATGAGACTGCTTCCTGAGGCTGCTTGCAGATTTCCAAACCCATAAACATGAGTTTATAAGACCTCAAAAAAGACTTTGCTGTCCATTAGTACACAAAGAATTGGGAGCAGCTAAACAATAATGTAGACATAAAATAATTCATTTACAACTACAAATAAATCTTATTTATAGTGTACTATACAGTATAGATATAGATGTGACCAGTGGTGGGATTCAAATATGGGAAGGAGTGTTGGCTTACCTGAACGCCTTTTCTCAGCATGATGATGGAGAATCCACCAATGGGTTGACTCTGTCTTCCTGCCCAATCAGACTAAGTCAGTCAAAGTTGCCACGCCCCGTCCTGGTCTGGGACCACCCAGTCTCGACGAAGGTGAAGCTATTGACGACAATCCGACGTGGTGACTCCCGAGAAAGGACAAAACAACCCCCTAGCACAGGACCTAACGGACCCTTACAGGGGTGGGTGTGGATTCTCCATCATCATGCTGAGAAGAGGCGTTCAGGTAAGCCAACGCTCCTTCTCCAGCATGATGGATGGAGAATCCACCAATGGGACATACCAAAGCCACCTGTCCCTATGGGAGGGAGTCAGTTGGGGCCTGTGTCCCAGATCCTGGCACTATTTGTTCAGCACTCTCTGACCAAAGGAGGCGTCTGCAGAGGCAAACTTGTCCAGCTTGTAGTGTCTCACAAAAGGAGAGGGTGAGGACCATGTCCTCTATGGATGCCTGTGCAGCAAAGGTGGCAGCGCTGCATGTGGAATGTGCCGTCACATGACTTGGAACTGACAGGGAGAACGACAAATATGCCCTCGATATGCAGGCCCTGATCCATCTTCCTATGGTGGAGGCAGACACCTTCAGTCCCATAGAAGAAGGGTGGAGTGAGACGAAGAGGGCTTCTGACCTACGAAAGGCCGCCGTCTGCTTGATATAATGGCGTAGGGCCCTGCGGATGTCCAGTGTGTGCCATTGCCGTTCCAAATCATGAGACAGGTGAGGGCAAAAGTCTGGCAGAATGACCTCCTGTGATCTGTGAAACACAGTGTTGATCTTGGGGATAAAGGAGGGGTCCAACCTGAGGACCACCCTGTCTCCATGAAAGATGCATAAGTTCTCTCTAATAGATAGAGCCGCCAGCTCCGAGATGTGTCTAGCTGAGGTAATGGCTATTAAGAAGGTGACCTTGAGCGACAAGGACCACAGAGTACAGGGTTCTAATGGATTCGAAGGGTGACTTAGTAAGGGCCTGTAGGAACCACGGTAACTCCCAGGAGGGATATCTATGAACCACGGGCGGTTTGCTATTGCTGACTCCTTTAAGAAAGGAGTGGACCATGGGATGCTGAGACAATGACTCCGATCTGTCCCAGGTGAGCACCGTGGAAAGAGCCACCACCTGTCTGCGGATAGTATTGGGTGTTAAGCCCTTGTTGATGCCCTCTAGTAAATAGTCGAAGACCTTTGGGATGGTCACTTCTGAGAGAGTCAAGTGAGTCCTGTCACACCAGTGGCAGAAGTTCCGTCAAGTGTAGTCATAAATACGATTAGTTGCTGGCCTTCTGGAGGCCTGAATCATGTCAATCACGCCTGACGAGTATGACTCCCATGTCAGGGTCCGGCGCTCAAGCGCCAGGTGGCTAGTTGGAGCCATTGGGGCTCTTGATGTTGTAGGGCTCCCTGAGTTAGAACTATGTGACCTGAGGGAATTCTCCACAGGGAAGCCATGGAAAGACTCACGAGGTCTGCAAACCATGGTCGTCTCGGCCAGTGTGGAGCAATGAGTATTACCTCTGCCCGCTCCTGCAGTATTCTTCTGATAACTGCCGGGATCAGGGGGAGAGGAAGAAAGGCATACAGTAGACCCCTTGGCCATGGATTGCAGAGGGCGTCCGTCCCCTCCGCCCCCGGAGAGGGGAACTGGGGAAAAAATCTGGGGAGTTGAGTGTTCTCCGGAGAAGCGAAGAGATCCAGGAGAGGAAGGCCAAACCTCTCTGCAATCTCTGTAAAGAGACCTGGGTGAAGTCACCACTCTGAATGGTCCACTGTTGACCTGCTGAGGAGGTCCGCCTGCCGATTCGCCTCTCCCGAAATGTGCTCAGCCCTGATGGAGAGGAGGTTGCCCTCTGCCCAAGAACCCAGCAACCTGGCCTCGGTCATGAGGGACCTGAAACGGGTGCCCCCTTGCCGGTTCACATGGGCCTTCGCCGCCACATTGTCCGTGAGGACCAGCACATGTTGCCTCATAATCTTGTTGCGGAAGTGGCGGAGAGCCAGACGGATGGCCCTGAGCTCCAACCAATTGATGTTGTGCTTCAGGTCTAATCGGGACCATCGGCCCTGAGCCAACTGAGATTGGAGGTGTGCTCCCCAGCCGAACAGATTGGTGTCTGTGGTCAGGATAATCCAAGGGGGTTCCTTGAACAGTGACCCTCTGGCTATGGCTGGGGAGATCCACCAACAGAGGGATTGCAGGACTTGAGGCGGAACCCTTACCTTTTGATTGGAGGAGCTGGTGCCCAGTCTCTGAAATGGGAGCAAGAACCATTGAAGATTCCTGGAGTATAGTCTGGCCCAGGGTACTATTGCTATTCATGATATCAACTTTCCCAACAGTTGGGAGAGCAAAGCTAGTGTCACTACATGCTACCTGTGGACCTTGAAGACCAGGGCTCAGATGCTGTCTTGACGTTCCCTCGACAGGTACACCTGACAAGAGACTGTGTCTATTACCGCGCCCAGATGCAAAAGGTGGGTTGAGGGAACCATCTGACTCTTTTGAAAGTTCACCGAGAACCCGTGGTCCTGAAGGTTCCTGATTATCAAGGCCAAGTCCGACTGGGCAGCTGGAATAGTGGACGATTGGATAAGGATGTCATCCAGGTAACATTGGACACGTACCGGTACCAACCTCAAGTGTGCCGCGAGAACAGCCAGGATCTTGGTGAAGACCCTGGGAGCCAACGAGAGGCCGAATGGAAGGGCTTTGTATTGAAAGTGACGGTTCGAGTAACAGAACCTCAGAAATTGTCGGTGCTCCGGAAGGATGGGGATGTGGAGATACGCCTCCGTAAGGTCAATGGACGTCATGAAGTCCCCTCGTCTGACACTGCCCAGGATGGAGTGGAACGTCTGCATCTTGAACTTTCGATACTCGAGGTGGGAGTTCAGACCTTTGAGGTCGAGAATTGCCCTCCATCCCCCTGAGGTTTTCGGGACCACGAAGAGGATGGAATAATATCCCCTCCCTACCTGACCCGCTGGCACCTGCTCTATGGCCCTTATGTTTAATAGGTGCTGAATGGTCTCCGTCATGAGGCCCTTCTTTGCTGGATTCCTTACCATCGGACAGGAAATAAAACGTTCTATAGGTCTGGTTACAAATTCCAGAGACAGACCGTACCTTATAGTGCGGAGCACCCAAGAGTCTGTCATCGTGTTTTCCCATTGGTGGATAAAGGAAGTTAGTCTGCCACTTATGGGAGAGCCCCCCCGAGTCACTTGGACCGACGAAAGGGATGGCCTTCTCTGCCTCGAAAGGGCCGCTTGCCCTGGGTCTGCTGTCGGGGTTTGTCCCTGTAACTTGCCCTGTCAAATGAACGGTCCGGTCTGGTAACAAAGGACCGGGATGCTTGGCCAGTGTCCCAATCTGGTCCCATTCGAAAAGACTGACGGCGAGCATAAGGGAAGAACCGCCTATGAGATCTCCTAGCAAGATGGGAGATCACCTTTTGCTTTTCCTTATTTTCTACCAGGTAGGGAGCTAGTGCCTCCCCAAAGAGCCGCCCTCTGCTATATGGAGCCGCAGCCACCCGCCATTTGTGTTTGTTGTCTGCTCTCCAGTTTTTGAGCCACAGTAGTCGTTGTGTGATGACGTTGGAGGCCATGGCTCTGGCGGCATACAGGGATGCGTCAGCCATATACTCTGAGGTTGCCACCAGCTTAGTCAGATCCTGGTGGATCCTCACCTCCTCTAGGGGAATTCTGGCCTGGAGCTGTCGGAGCCAGATGAGAGAAATTCTGGCAAAGAATGAGGTGGAAGTGGCCGCTTTTGCTGCCCATGCCGAAGCCTGATGCGTTCTGCGGAAGGAGAGCTCTGACTTTTTTTCGTCTGCCTTTAAGGCGTCAGTTATATCCCCTGGTAGCTTGGAGGACGAGAATAAGGGAGTTAGGGAGTCATCTACCCTAGGCACCTCCAACAGCTCCATTAGAGCTGGGGCTGTGTCAAATAACTTGCGTTCTGTTCCCCCCTGGGAGGGAAGGGCGACTGGAGATTCCCATTGCCTTTGTATGTTTTTGAGGAATAAAGGGGGACAGGGGATATGTTGGTACCTGACCACTGGTTCAGAGAACAGCGGGTCCGTGTCCTGAGTAGAGGACTGTTCTGGGGTGGGGGCTGGATCCAGACCGATCTTACCCGCTGCACAGGCCCTGCGGAGCAGAGATGGGAAGAGCATGGGATTGAATAGCTCTACAATGGGAGGAGGTTCTTGAGGTGCTTCCTCGTTATCCGACCACTGATCCCCTGTGTAGTCATCCCCAGTGGAGCTCGATGCGTCGCTCCCTGAAGAATGAGGAGGCGAGACTGAATCCGGATGGTCAAGTACACTGGGTCGTGCCGAGCCAAGTGGAATTGATGAAGGCCCTGGGGTGGATGTTGACTGTTGGCACCTGGTGGAAGCCATCGCCTGAAGAACTGCCTGGGAAATCATGGCCTGTAGTTGATCCGTGAAGGAAGGTTCCTGTAAAGGCCGAATCCCGGCTGCCGTCGGAGTGAATGTGGCTGCAGGTGCCATGTGAGGGCCTTGAGGCCCGAGTTCCTCACCAAAGAGTGATGGGCCTTCCTGACCAATACTCGGTAAAAAGTCTTGTTGAGGCTCTCGTTCTGGAGACCATGTCAATGCCGGGGGATTAAGTTGTGAACCGCAAGTTGAAGCCTCGAGTGAGGGGAGGGGAGGCTTGTCCGCCTCCCCTACCGTCAACCTTTGTGCCCGGGAGAACTGTTTCTCCAGGGCACGATGCGCACGGCCGGCCTGTTTCTCGGCAGATTTGCATGTTCTTTTGCTGGAATTGGCCTTTGATTTGGCCTTGATCTTGGCTGCAGCCTCTTGGTTGGGGGACTTGCAGTTAGTTTGTCCAGCCGAGGTAGAAACCTTTGGCACGGTGTTATCTGCCATGATAAATTGAGAGGTTTCCAGTGGAGAGATGGAAAAATCTCAGTCTGCAAGAGATACGGCAGTGGCCCACCGAGGTGGTACTGTCCAGCACGCGGATCTGTGATAATCCAGCCCACCGGCAAGCACGGAGTCACGCTTAGCACAGGAGATACGCGCGTCACTGAGGAAGATGGTATCAATAGTCAGTATCTCGTGGCGATGTGCAAGCCTGCAGCAGGGCCTAATTTTCACTCAGTGATGGGATCACACGTGTCTCACTTAGTGGCGATAATCAGATCGTAACGTTCGGCCACTAGATGCAGACTGGCAGACAGACTAGGCTGGTGAGGCTCGAAGAGGCAAAAAGAAACGAATGAATAGTGATGTTTGCCTGCTGAAGAAGGCTGGGGCCTGGCTCCAGTTCTGGATACGGATTGATAGTCCCCTGGGTTTGTCAGCCGGTCGGCTCTAGTGACGCTTCGGAGCGCAAAATGGCGCCCTGCTGGCCTTGTGAGGTACTGGCAACTATATCAGTCAGCTGCTCATTAGGACCCGGTACCCAGCAAAGGCAAGAATGGTGACCCTTGACAGGAACGAGTGCCAGTCCTGTCCTGCTGTGTCCTCCTGAGTGTATCCTGGAAAGGACCATCAGTCGCGAGGCATCCAAAATGGCAGCCGCGCTGATTGTACTGAAGGGAACTGACAGAAGTGAGGGTGCTCCAGTCAGGTGATCCGGGTCGCCGCGCCAAACAGCTGAGAGGTGCACGCGTTGCAGCATCTCTCGGCTAGCCAGGGTCTACGGAGGATAAATTTAGAGCTGATCTAGGGAACCGACGGTCTGAGGCCGATCCGGAAAGAGGTGAGCCGGGCCGCCACACCAAACAGCTGAGAGGCGCACCAGCCGCAGTGCCTCTCAACTGCAGCAGGAGTCTTGGAGGCCGAGGCTTTAAGCCAAAATCTGGATGGTAAGCCAATTGCTGCGCTGAACAGCTGAGAGGCGCGCCGATCTCAGTGCCTCCCGGCTGCACCAGGACCTTGAGAGGGAAAGAAGGCTGTCAGGAAAAATTCAGACAGCCGTGCAGCGCGCAAAATGGCGGCCGTTACTCGGACTGAGTATCAATATCAAAAATTGTTCTAAGTCTAACCTGCCTGAGGTAGGAAATTTGGGAGTCAAAGATACCACATCCGTCTGGGCGAACAGACTAAGTCGAGACTTGGCAACTTTGACTGACTTAGTCTGATTGGGCAGGAAGACAGAGTCAACCCATTGGTGGATTCTCCATTCATCATGCTGGAGAACAACCGGTTCTCTATGTGGATGCTGCTTCTGGAAGTCAATTCTGGGCCTGGGCAACAAAAAATTAACTACCGGTTCTGCTGAAGTGGTGCGAACTGGCTGAATCCCACCACTGGATGTGACTCATAACTATATTGTAAAACAGATAACCTTTGTGATCACTTACATGAGCTTTTGAAATCCTTCTTTTTCATTCTTCTTCTCATCAATGTTCCTCTAGGACTAGTAGAGTAGAGGCTGCGAGGTAAAGTTCCCATGTTCAGTGAACTCAAGCTGTATGCACTCATGGAGGCAGGAGAGAATGATGAAGATACCAAGGCTGTTGGAAGAGAAGGGCACATTTGATGCAAAGCATTCTAGATTTGGTATTTGTAACTGTCTGTTATCATCTGTACACTGCCTAAAGTTTATGTCTCCACTAACCAAATCAGAAACTTAATGACATCTAGGCATCAAATCACAATTTTAGATTGAAGTCTATTATTAAAAAATCTCTTAGCTAGAACAAAAGCATATTTTTGTTTTTCTTAAATAAATAAACAATTGTCATTCTCACAATTACTTCAAACATTTCTAAACACACAGTTATGTGAAATAATACATACCAATGTGATTACAAATCACATTTTTAAATCTAGCATTTGAAAAAAATAATTTCTGACATAGACTTTGCATTTAAAAGTGTTTCTTGAAAAAGTACTTAACTGTACAACTATGCATTTGGGAAAACTGGACCCTCCATAGCTTTCAAAAACTTTTCTTCTTTATGAAAATGTAGAATTAAAGCAGGAAAAAAGATACTATGTCAGAAATAACCTGAACCTGCTTGTGACAAACATTGAGATCCTATGAAACCAAAAGGTTTTTAAGCCAGAAATAGAAGAACATGAGAAAAGGGATGTCATTAGGAAAACAACAATAACACAAAAACAACAGATGTCTGAAGGAAAAGTATGGAACATTACAAAGACTTTTTTGAGGTGGTGTTTTCTGGCATTTCAAAGCTGGCATCCTGAAATGATCAGGGTGTTTGGTGTTATAATGGTGGTAACTGAGGGCACTGCTGTGGCTCTTGGCATAAGGATCCCATACAATCTGCTTGTTGCTCCTTTGAACCTTCACTGCCCAATGAAGGAATGAGAGAAAATACATATTAAAAAATGAAAAGAAAAGAAATAAGAAAATTATGAGTAAATGGGGAAAAGTAATTAATTTATAAATAAATTAAAAAGGAAAAAGAAAGTAATTGGGAAAATATCCTGTTCCTACCACCCTCCTTTTCCTGGTGATAAGCAAATCCTAGAATGTATGCCACAATCTTTCACAATGTCAGCACTAGTGGGTTTGATACTTAAAAAATTCTGAACAGTCTTCAATCAATTTTTAATCTGCCTCTGTCTTTAGCTACTGTTATTAAATCCTTTAAAGAGGTTATTTAATCCAACATTATCAGCATAAATAAGATACTATTAGTATTTAAATTTAGAAAATATGCATACAGCCCCAAATGAATGTGTATATATTAAAAAAGCAAAAACCAAACAAGAGGCTATATATTTTTCATAGTAATTTAGAGTGGTTTACATGTCAGTCACTCCAATTTATTACTTTGACATTTTAATTTTACCAGCATCTATCACTGGTACTATATTATTCAGGGCAATGAATTCCATTTCTTAAACATTAAAAGAAAATTTCAGCGTAGGAGAATTATTAATAAAGACAAAGCAGAAATTTAAACTCATAATGTATTGCTCTGAATTTCTTCTGACTACTTTTCATCACAAATGCAAGAAAGGAAACAAATCCTATTCCTTGTAATGGTCACTTCTGAATCAGAGTTACCTTAAGGATTCTCCACTCCCCTCCCTCCATCAAAAGTAAAAGAGAGGGTAAAGTAATCCTAAATTTATTAAATACATTCTTCAAAATATATGAGAATTTCCAATTATTCACTAAGGACTGAAAGGAAGTTTCCTATTCGATTTATCAATAATATTTGTATATTTTTCCCCTGAGTTATATAGTATAATGTTGCTACAATTAACAAATCTAAGAAACATTTTTAACACTGTGTCAGAATCCAGTTATATTTCCTTTCTATCTATCTCTTCTGATCTAAAACCAATTCTCACCCTTCCCTGGATTTTGCCATACTCCCAAGGGGGAGGGGGGATATGCATGCGGGTTTATTGCTTTCACTTCCTCTATTCACTACAAAATAATCTTTTGTTTATTCACCTTTGTGTCTGCTAACCATTACAATGTAACAAATTGCCTCCTATAGTATGCACTCCTCTGAACTTCTCCTCCCTACTGGGCAGCTAGAAAAAAAAGGGGGGGGAGAGATACAAACCTCCGGGACCTAGTTTATTTCTCCATCCTCAAAATGAGGTGTGAAGAGCTGTGGAATGATTGTGCACAAACGGAGCCGGACTGATGTTATCTTTCCTTTCCCATCAATGGATTTAACACCTGGAGATTTGCCGATCTGAACCGCCTGGATAAACTGTGGGGTTGGGTTTGCTTAGGGACATTTTAAAATATCGATCTGTAAGGAAATCCCTCCTGTCTACTATGCCGGCTATCAACTACTCTTAATAAAAGTTCCTGTTGGAAGAAATTGTTTCCAAGAGTTCTGCTTTCTTAAGATGTGAGTTGAAGTGGGTCCTTACATTAGACAGGATCTGCAGTAATAGTCAACCTGGAAGGAAGAACCTTACTAGGGGACTTTGCAAAAATTACAATGTTGGACGACGAGGCAGGGAAGGAAGAAAACTCAGCGGAAAGGGAGCCTTCCCCCCAACTCAGATCCTGCCAGCTGTCAGGATCTGAAATGTCATACTCATCAGGAGAAGAGGTGGTTGAGACACGCAACCACAAACCTCGGTGGTCAATGGGCGTTGGAAAGAAAGGCGAGTGAGAAAAGAGATCGAGAAAGGTGACCCTGAGATGGGGCAGCCACCAACCAGAATGGAAGCAGGAGATGGAGAAATCCCTGCACGTTAGTGAAGAGGAAGTACCTTGTGCACAACACTCGAACTGGATCCTAGAGAAAGCTATTGATCTGATGAAAAGAACCCTCGGCTCTCTAGAGGAGGAAAAATCTGAGCCCCGCAGCCGCACCAGCACCTGGAACTGAAGCTGGAGAGACACTGAGGGGGAATTGGAACCTGTAGTCCCGGGGATGTCTGCTGAACCAGCAGCTACCATTTCAGCAGCCCCCACTCCCTGCCGACCCGCAGATAGCGATCTGAATGGAAGACAATACCACTGATGCCGAAGGCACCAATCCATTCAAAGACTCGAAATTCAAGGGGGAGCCACAACGCTTGGGGTTTTTCCTAACCCAAGTCCTCAGCTACATGGAAGAATATGGGTGGGACATCCCCAGTGACAAAGCCCATATCCGTATCGTGCAATCCACTCTGGATGGACCGGCCACAGATTGGGTGGTGAACTTGCATGATTCCAACACCCCAGAACTCAACGACTTCAACTGTTTCATGTCCTCTCTGAGAAGGTGATCTGAGACCCCCTGGCTGATCACAAAGCCCACAAAAGAATCAAAATGGTGAGGCAGGGCAGATGCCCAGTAGCCGAATATACATAAGAATTCTGGACCATTGAGTTCCCGAGTCGTCCTATTTGGACGATGTAGGTTAGAACTCCTCCGGAGCCCTGAGGATTCTCCGCGATCCAGGTCGCCTTCGCTTCGGCGAAGCTAGAAGCCGCCGCCGCCACTGCAACTTAAATTGAACTGTGAGTCATTATATGCAGACAAACCGACCCTGGAAGTTTGCTTTTTATTTTGAATTTTACTCTAACTTGGAATATTCTGATCTTCCCTATACGTGGGGTGGACTGAGTGAAAGTGAACTTAAAATGGCGATGGAATGAAACTTTTTAGCAAGAAGAAGTGAAAGTGATTTGCATTTCCGGTCTGGAACTTTCGCTTAATACTTTCACTACTTGCTTTGGACTAATTGTTTAAAAGACTCTTATATAGTTTGAAATCTTAATTTGCTAATATGGCTTTGAGAAGAGTGGCGCCAACAACTTCAAAATCAATTACATCTCCAACTCCTCAACCGCTCCAACAAATTTCTAAGTCGGCTTCCCACCCGCCACCCCCACCGCCATCTTCTTCATCTCCACCGCCTCCTGGTAAAGATATACAGGATTTAATGACTGAAAGTATTAAGCAAATGACAGAGATGTTACAAAAAATGGATGTTAAAATGGAGAATAAGATTGATCAAGTAATACAGCAACAACAAGAATTATTACAGAAACATGAGGGTTTCCGTTTGAATATGACAACTGCTTTCCAAGGTTTGGCTGAATATGTGGATGGGGTGGTAGAAAGGGTGGAGGAAAATGAACAGAGGGCTGAAGTGAACGTGCAAAGATTGGAATTCGTGGAGGAGGGTTTGGAAAATGTTAAAGGTGATGTCTTGGTCGCCCAATTTCGGGACATGGAGTATGCGATTCGGATCCGCGGGCTGGCTGAGGATTCAAAAGAGAAATTAAGAGAATTAATTTCAGAAGCATTGGCAGATGCCTTTTTGGCTTGTGGTAGAGATGGTCCATCGCAGGAACAAATCTATGAAGAAATAGAACGTGTTTTTAGGGTGAATTCTTGGGTTGCTCGTCAAAAAAATTTGCCAAGAGATGTGGTGGTGTATTTTACAAGAAAAATGAGACGAAATGAAATAATGCAGCTTTTTTATCAACAAAGATTCAAGATTTTAAACCAAGACATCATTCTTTTAAAAGAAATCCCAGCGAAAATACTTAGAGCGCGACGGGACTATGCTTTTTTGGTCCAGGAACTTAAGAATAGACAAATAATTTTCAGATGGGATATACCGGTGGGCATAATCGTGAATGTGGCTGGTAAGCGTTACAGAATTAACTCGGTCAAGAAAGCGAATGATTTTATGGCGTCTGTGTTGCAAGTGGAACGTCCACCTACATCTCAAAAGACTGGCGCAGTTGAGCATCTGATTGTGGACCTCCCTTCTATTTCCGGTGTAAAGGATTCAAATGGGTGTTCAAAAGATGATGGAAAAGAACAAAGAATGACTTGCGCAGCTCACAGACGCAAGGAAAAAGAGCAGCAAATGACAGATCGCCCGTTAACATCTGACAGTTCGCTACCTGCTACTTCTGAGCCAGTAGGTGGCGCTCGACCCAAGGTCTTTGTTAAGTCCTACGCTTCAAGTATTGCTATAGG